TACTACCACTATTACACCTAAGAAAATAGTTGTATGGGGTTGTTTAAGAAAAAGCAATTTAAGTTTATGGCAAAGATAATCTTAAAATTTTTTAAAACTTTTTCAAACCTGTTACTAGAAATCCCTCCATATGTTTAGGTAAATTGATAGTCAAAAAAGATATTGCGCCAGAAGTTGCTGAAGTAACCTAAGGATTTTACAAAGTTATTCACTTTAAGAATTCATCCATCAGCTGCAGAAGTATTTATAATTCGAATCCATATAGAAAATAGTTTAAATGAGATGATTTATATGTGTTAAAATAGTATTATTTTATTTAAAATATATTTTTAATAGAAATTCTAATTATCTTCATAAGTAATTAATCATCCTTTATAAGAAGTAATTTTGTTAAACTAAATTAATTATACAAAAAATTTTAGAATAATATCTTGTTGATCTTTAATTAAAAATATAATAAATTATTAAATCAAGTTAGAAATGTAATATTCTTTTTGGCAGAGCATTCTTCTTAAATTTTATATAACAATCATTAATTATTTGAAAACTTAATATAATAAAAATTATGTAAACTCAATATTTGAATTAAGTAACCAATTTTAATGTAGAAAGTTCTTAAAATTATCTTAAACATAAAGACTAAAAATATGATCTTGTGGTAGATGTTCTATGGAATGATTTTTTTAAATCAATTGAATATAAAATCTTATTAAAAAGACTAATTAAGGAATTAAAATAAAAAAACTATAGCCTGATCTGTGTAAGAAAATAGTTAATAAATATAAAATTTTATTTAAAATGGCATTAAGTTTATATTAAATAAGACTTTTATGATTTAATAGTAAAAAGCTTTGATTCTTAAGGGGAAAGAATAAGCAATAATGATTGAATTGATTTTGAATAAAAATTATTTTTGTATCTTGAATTTCATTCTGTTTATTATTTTATCCGTCTTAATTTAAAAAATTTAAGGATTAGGATCAATTTTAATTTGTCCAAATTTTATTTATATCTTATAAATTTATACAAATTAGTTTTATTTATCTCATATGCTTGATCATAAAAAGGGAAATCGTTTATTTTTTTCATTAAAATTTATTATATCAGTTTATTTTGCTAAAGATTTAACCAGTTCTCAAAAGCTAAATCTTAAAAATATGAATGTAAAATATTCTTATAAATTTTTAATTCTAAAGACTAAAAAGAAAAAATTAAAATAGATTTGATCATGCTTATTTTTTTAAACTTATGAATAATAGATTGGATGTTAAGATAGAAATAGAAATAAATTTAGTAGAATAGTAAAAAACTTCGTTAAGGAGATAGTTTCTTACCATTTCTTATAATATAGTCATGAAAATAGGAGGATTAATAAATGAAAAAAATTCTATGGTTAATTGTTATAAATATCAGTGGAAAGATAATTTGTTTTGTGAGTTATTTAATTAGTTAGATTTATAAGAATTTGCTGACTTTTTTGAAAAATGGAAATTAGTGATTTAGTTTATAAAAAGCATTTAATAAAAAATCAAAAATAAATATGAACTTAGAGGAGAGACCTGGAACATCATTTACATCAAAGAGACAGGTTTAGACTGAATAAAGAAAGCGATAACAAATGAATTTAGGTACTTTGGAGACTGAAGATAAAAGTGTAAGAGTAGTGATGTTTATTGTAGACAGGAATGAAAATGCGACCAATTACTCAAGATCAATAGAGAAACAGTTTGTAATAAAAGAGATAGAAGATGATTCCATAGGCAATTTTATATGACAGGGAATCTTTGTATGAAGAAGTTATAAATGCGAAATAAATTAATAACAATCTTTAAAGAGAGAACCAAGCTCTACATACAAAGATTAAAATGATGGATGTAAATTTGATTAAGACTTATAGGAAGAATTGTAAAGAATAGTTAGATAAACTCCAATAAATGAGCAAGTAGTTAACCCTATGGAGTCATTTTATTAGGATAATAAACCTATGAAATAACATTTAATTATGGATTTAAAGAAACAATTAAGAAGATTGCAAGAAGAATCAATTAAAAAGGATTAATAAATACAATTTCTATAAAGAAATACAAAAGCTATGAAAATTAAAGAACTGGAAATTGAATTACTGTCTTATTAATAAGAAGCACAAAGATTAAAAGCTTTGATTGGAATGAAATTTAGTGATTCTGATAATGATTTTCTTAAACTTAAAGCTGATTATAAATTATTAGAAGATGAATTAAAATTACTAAAAGTCAAATGCAAAGAATCTGAATCGAAAGCTACTATGTATTATAATGAAAAACTTAAAAAAGATAAATTGAATCAATATTTAAAAAATTAGATTGAAAATTTGAAATTTAAAGATCCTGAATATAAGAAATAAAATAAAATAACTGAAAATGAATAATAATTAAAATAAGATATTGAGTACTAATCATCCTTATATTGCTAGTTAAAAGTAAGTTTAAATAGACACTTTGATAAGTAGTTTGAAGGCCAAAGATGCATAATATGCTGAATTAGATAAAAGAATGAAAGAATTAGAAAGAGAATAATAATAGATAATTGATTAATTGGAGAGAGAAAGATAATAATTACGTGAATAATGTAATTCATTAAAGGAGGAAGTTGCAATGTAATCAGGAAGAAGGTAAAAATACATATTATGTTTTTTAATAGAAGAACTGTTTAAAATAATAGTTTTTTAGAAAATAAACTTGAGGTTCTTCCTGAAGGTCCTGAAATAATAGATTAAAAAAAGAAATTATTACCTTGTGTTACTAAAGATGATGTAAATTTAATTTGTAAATAAATAAAATTCAAACTTAAAGCTATGAAAGTACCCTTTGAAAAGATTGATAATGTATTTATATATTGATCCTTTAGTTTATTCATGGAGATGTTCATTCTGTTATTAGAATTGAAGAATTAAATGATATGTTATAAGCTGAACCATTTTTATTAAATGAAGTTGATAGTCTTAAGGTTGCTAGATACTTAATTGAAGATAATGATGAAAGATTTGTAGAATTTAGTATGTTAACTGAAGGTCTTATAGCAAGAGCCAAGAGTATATTGAAAAATTTAATAGGTAAATATTCTCTTTTAGAAGTAAATTTATTTTATATGATTTTTAGAAAAATGAAGAAGAATAGTTATTTTTTGAGATTGCAACTGTTTTATCTAAGTATAGAAATTCTTTAGAGGATTTTATATTGAGATCGAAAAAAAGATAAGAATTTTGTACAGTTGAAGATTTAGAAGAAGCACTTAAATTTGTTGAATAAACATTTAATTCTTCTTAATATGAATATATGTTATTGAAGAATTATGAATTAACACAAGAATTAATTCGGATAAATTATAAAAAATTATTTGAATTATTTTATGTTGGTAAATAACAATTATATTTTTTAATTAGATTTATAGGTTGCTTAAAAGACAAAAAGTGAAAGTGATTTACCAAAAGAAAAAGAATAAGAAAAAAGATTATCAAATTAAGAATAATAAAATAATAATGACTTTGAAATTTAATAATAAAAATAAAAATAAGAAGAACTTTAATAATAATAAATAAGAAAATAAAAAGAAGAAGAAGAAGAATAAAGAAGATTATAATAATAATAAGTAGAGCAAGAGAGATAAAGATAATTGGAATTGGAAAAAGAGGAAGAAGAATAAAGAAGATTAGAATAATAATGGAAAGAAGAAGAAGAAGAGAGAAAGAGGTAGGAGGAAGAAGAAAGAATTAGATATGAGAATGAAGTGAAAATGTAAAAATAATTAGAAGAAATGAGAAAGTAAGAGGAAGAAGAAAAATTAAGAAGACAATAAGAATAATAAAGATAAGAAGAATTATTAAGATAATAGAAAGCAGAAGAAGAAAAATAATAGAAATTAAGAGAGGAAGAAGAGCAAAGACAATTAGAATAAGAATAATTAAAGAAATAAGAATTGGAAGAGGAATAAAATAGATTAGATTAAGAATATGAATAATAAGATGAGTATGAAAATGAACAGAATGAATAAGAAAATTTTGATGAATATAATGATTAATAGTTTGACTAATAATAATCAGAAAATTAAATTAGTGAGCCATAAAATAAAAGTTAAAAAGAATATGAGGATGAGGATTTTGAATAATGAACATATTAATTATTAAATTATTAATATATATATATATAAAATGAAAATAGTTGTTAAATATTTCTATACAATATGTTAATAGGAATAAAGAAAGGAAACAATTCGATAAATGATAGCTGAATATTTTGATGAGAATATAGAATACGATAAAGAGATTTTCAAAGATTATTAAGAATTTTTATAATTCATTTTTCCATTCAGACCGAAGAGTCTTAATAAATTAGGAGAAACAAAGAATCATAATTATTGTAAGATTCTTATATCAGAATTAATTGAGACTTAATAAATTATGGATACTATGTTAATTGAATAAAGAAAATAGTTAAGTTAATCAGAAATTTTAAAAATATATAAGGAGATTGATTAAAGTTCTGATGGTTACATAGATGTCATCAAATTAAAAAAATATTTATCATAAAAATTAAACTTTTGGACTTCTAATGATGATTTGATATATATCTTTAGAAGAATAGACAAAGATGAGGATGCATTTATAAGTATGGCAGAATTTATAGATGAGTTTAATTTTGAAAAGTAAAAAATCTCTCAAATGTCAACGATGGCTTAAACAAGATAGTAATCATAAACATCTTCATAAACATAATTTATACCTCCATACTCAGAGGATTGTAAAGAATTTGCCTTTTTCATTTAAAAATTATTAAAAATTAATGTTTTAGATGAAGATGAATTGCTTAAATTAAAAAGATATTTTGTAAAATAGAAAAAGCAATCATTTCTAAATTTATTTGAAGATGTTGCCCATTCTATATATTTAGATAAAAGAGATCTTATAAATTTATTATAATAGTATTTAATTAATTATAATATATTTAGTTTTAAAATAAGCCTGACTACTAATATAGAGAAAATATGCAAATTATTCAATGAAGAGAATCCAGATTAAATAGATTTTTAGGATTTTCTAAAATTTTTTACTTTTTGATTATAAATAAAAACTCTCCATTTTGAGATTAGTATTAATTAGATTTATTAACATAAATGTAAAATAATCAAGGTGCAGCAACTTAAGAATAATCAATTAATTAAGAGAATAAACCAGAAACAAGACCATGTATTTTATGTTAGACTTTCTATGGAACAGCTGCTACATAATTTTATTGTTCTAAATGCTACTAGTAATCAAATTGAAATAATTTATTATTTAGATCCATAAGAAAAGAAAGTAATGTAGAATAAACCTAACAATAGTAACAAATTGTATAAGAAAAAAAATAATAAGATGAAATTGTTAAGTTAAAAGTAAAATGATTATATTTAAAACTTATTAAGGAAGACCCATCGAAATGTAAGATTTGTAAAAAAAAATTGGGAATTTCAGGTATTTAATGCAAATGTGAAGCATATTTTTGCAATAGACATCGTTTACCAGAGGAACATTAATGCACATTTGATCATGCAGAAAAGGCTAAATAATAACTCATTAAAAATAATCCTCTTGTTGATCATAAAAAGTTGGAATAATTGTGATGTTTAACCTTATAAAATAAATTCTAATCATAATTTTTTCATTGATTACATTAGAAATCTATAATTAAAGTATAAATTTTGGTAATTTATAATTTATTTTATTTTCATTTTATACATAAACATTATTTTTTTTGTTAATTTTGTACACAAATTTTTGAATTGATCTAACTAATTGATAAGTTTTAATTATAATTACTAATATTTACAAAAGGGTTTTAATAAATAATACATGAGGAAACTGTTGTAAAAATACTCAAATTATTATTTTTGAGAATGAAACCATTTTTGATGGATATTTTATTTTTGTAGAAATAAAATTAAGCTTAACAAGTTTAATAGATTTTACAGAATAAAATTATAAAAAAATTTAATAAAATTTAATAATAGAAAAAGAGTTGTGGAATGGATGCAAAATGAATTTTTTATGTATAAAAATAATTGAACAGGTTTTTATTTACACTTTGAGATAAAAGAGCATTAATTACATATATATATATTATTTTGGAACTTAATCATGTATTTAGCTTTGAATACCATTTTGGTATTAATTTAGAATTAATTTCTGGTCTGATACTTAATTCTTGTTTATTAAAGTCAAATAAATTTGGTGACTTGATATTTGATTTTGCAAATTCTTCTTTTCTTAAATCATCAAAAAATGGATGTAAGAGGGCATCAATAGGTTGAATTCTGGTTTTGGGAGAGTAACTAAGATTAAGAAGGATGAAGATTACGTAAGCATTTATGAAATGAGATCTAAGAATAATAAATCTGGTTTAAATTTAGCCAAAACCTTAGACCAAGGATTGCCTTTAATAATAGGTAATTTAATTTCTGCTTTAGCTGGATTCATTTATTTGATGACTTCTTGAGTAGGTGTACCAAGAATCTTTATAATCTATAATAATTAGTCTTAGGCACTTTCTCCTGGAAAGATAGGTTCTAAAATGATCATTTCTACGATGACACAACCAATAGACCACATGTCTATTTGTGTGGTATAATCGGTAGCTCCAAAAATTAATTCTGGTGCTCTGTAGTAGCGTGAACAAATGTACGCAATATTAGGTTCACCTACTACAAGCCTTTTAGCAGAGCCAAAATCACAAATTTTGAGGACATTCGTTTCAAGATTAATCAGGATGTTCTGGGGTTTGATGTCTCTATGGCATATTCCGATGGCTAGTTGGGATAAGTCTCAGTACCCTGCAGGTAGAGCAGCGCACGAAGCATTTAATAGCTGTAAAGCTTTAGTTATGGAAATGGAATGGTTTGCTTCTATTTGCGTATCTGACGTATCATCTTTGAAAGTGTCTCTGGTACATATTCCATAACAAGATTAAGGTACACATCTTATGGCTACATGATCAATAAAAACATCAGTATACATTCTCTCCAGGAGTAAAGAATGAATGACGTAACATAACTACGCAGGGATGATTTAATTCTTAAATTATCAGATGCTCTCTATTTTTATATCTGCGATCTTAATACACCTTCTTGATTGCTACCTTCTCCTTTGTTCTATTATCAGTAGCCTAACCATTATTCAATCCACAAATACCAAATGCACCATTCCAAATGTCCCTGTTCCAACTACTTACTCAAGTGTGAAGTCTTTGTCTGATTATTATAACATTTAATAATTTCATTTTAAAATAGTTCATTAGGTAATATGAAAATTAATTTTTAAATCTCTCTACAACTTTTCAAACAAGAATCCAAATACTTTATTTTTATAATAATTCATAATCTCATATTCAATTTACATTATGCAATCAATTTTATTATTTATTAAATATTTTTTTTACTCTATTTATTCTCTAAATCATTTTATAATATTATTGCAACTCCATCCATTTTTAACTGATCAATACTTCATACTCATATTGATATTGTCAATTTTTAATTATAATTCTGTTTTTGTATTTATTATTAGATTCTTCCTAAATATTTTTAACCTTTATTGTTTGATTCCTTAAATTCATAATAAAAATAATAACAAGAATTAAAAAATGAAGACATTTATATGAATGAAAATTTCGAATTGAATTCAGGTATGTTTATAATTCATTTCAGTTTACTTCATTTTTCTTAATTTGAATTGTATAGGATTTCTATGGAATGGTTTTTCTTAATTATATTAAATTCTGTATTCTGTTCTCACTTAATCACCTAAATTATAAATAATAATAGAAAACCATTCATATTTTCATGAGGAATCCAACCTGATCCATCAAATTACATATGATTCTTCTAAAATCCAGATGTTTTAGTTTAAGCTTATGAAGTCTCTAAATATCTATCAGTCTTACGAAATCTAATTGATTAAATATCATTTATACGTTGGAGCAACAAGTTCTTAAGGCTTCTTAAAACCGTCTTAATAAGATGTAATCATTTTGTTAATATGAGTACATGGATGATTTTTTAATAAGGTTTAACATCCATATTTATGAGAATAAGCTTCTTTATGTGTGTCAATTAATTCTTTTGAATCAAAATTAAATCCAGTTGATGATAATTTATTGAATTTTCCTAATTTCTAGTCTGCAAATGATTTTCTGGCTACTTCAGAAAATCTCTCGCCATATAAATTCTCTGATTAAACATATGGCACATATCCTGCATATCCAGGCACTGCAGTGTTTTTCGGTTCTTATGGAAACTAAAAACATTTATTCATTATTAATTTACTTGAGTATAATGATTGATATAACTTGTTCTGTAGAAGTTGTTTTTAGACCATTCATGAAAAGTTTTTTCTTATATGGGAGGTTGAGATTAGCTAGCCATTTTAATTTATTAATTTATTTGATTATTTTTTCATGAAAAGCTATAATCCAACAACTTTAATTAATACTAATCAATTAAGGGAATATACATAGACTATTATAATTCATAAAGTTTTAATAGAATAGAAAATATATAGCCTATAGCCTTTAAATGTATTTAATAAATTAATCTAAAGGTGATTTCATGATTTATGTAAATTTTATATGATTTTATATAATTAATATCCTATATCTATTATACTCATTCTCAATAAAATTAATCAATTCAGACACATTATTCTTATTTTAAATACCGATTTTTATGGTTCATGATCTTATAAGATATTTTAAACTTATAACTTTGAAAATTAGTAATTTTTTAGGATAATTGTTTCATTATTAAAGTCTAATACAAATTTGAAATTTATATTTGTTTTACTTTATATAAACTAATAAGTAAGAGATTAGTTTCACATCATATAAGATTTCAAAATTGTTTCTTAACAGATAACGTGATTTTAAGGATATTAAAACTACGATATTAAAAGCATTAATAATCTTTAACAAACACTTAGAAAAATTTGGAAATAATAAAAATTTGATAAGAAACTAACTAATAATGGTCGTTAAATATTTAAATAAATTCATAAATTTTAGGATAAAAATTTTATGTGCAAAAAATTTTGAATTATATTTCACGATACAAAAATGTATGCAATTGTGGAAAGAGTAGAAAGTGATATAAATTGTTCAGTCACTTTCATAAAAAAGTAATTCCAAGTTTTCTGCTCCCAAACAACTTTTGAAGTATAATATTAAACTTGAAAACCGACACAAAAGAACACTGATAAAGATAGCGCTAATCCAAAATCTCTTGAATTCTATTTTAAGTGATTAAGATTACTTTTTCTTTAAGGAGTAAGTATAAGTATGTAATTAATGATGCTTGTATGAATCTGGCCAATAATTCTAAAATTAAAGGCTTACTATTCTAATCATTTAATTCATGTTCTTTATCTAGTTAAATATTTGCTTCTTTTAAATAACGATCCCGAAATAATATTGAATACCAATAAAATCCAATTATCATAGTCGACATTGTTCCAAAGATCACGGATAATAAACAAGGAATCATTGTTATTTTGAGTTTGATTTAAATTTAATATAATAATATATATATAATATAAATTAATATTTTGATGAATTTAATTACTAGCATTAATAATTTAAATATATTCAAGATAAAAATTATATTATGTATAAAATCAAACTGAGCTAACATCATTTGTACAATCATAGAACAATGATTCTGTATCAGTAAAAAGTGAAGCACCCTCAGGTATATTAGCTTGAATATAAGAATCAAATTCCTGATTATTTTTCAAACTTAACGTCTATGATACCATTCCCTCTCTAATTTAATAAATTGTATATATAAATACCCATATAATTAAAGACTAATCTTTGATCTGTTACTTATGAACACATTTTCATAGAATTCTACTACTTATTATTTAGTAATTGATTTAAGTCTTTCAATTGTGACTTGTCTCTCTTCAAAAGAATAGTCTCCTGAACTAATATATCCCCATAGTCTTTCAGCTTCTTCACTTAAACTTTATGGTTTTTATCGTAATTCAACAATTGCACTATGTCTTAAATGTTCAAATTGTTTTTTATTCATATCTTTTAGATATTCATCAAATTGTAATAGGAACTCTTCAATTAATTAATTTACTTTCATTGGCAATTCTTTATTACCTTAAATTAAAAAGAGAGCTCCATCAATGCAACTTACTTATTTGAATTTCATAGCTACAACATATCCTAATTATAAATCAGTCCTTAAATGATTATAAGCTTAAGAATTAAGTAAAGGTTATAGGATTTTCATCAACGCATAATTTTCTTATGTCCTTTAACCTATTTAATAGTAATTTAATGTAACTCCATTCAAATCTCCTTTATCTGATTCTACAAATTTTGCATAGACCCAATTTTTTTAACTCAAATTCAATACTGAAATTGGTAATCTTATTGGTGTTTAGATTTCTGCCTCTTTTTCTTAAATACAAGTTTAAAGTTCAGCAGAAAGATCTTGGGCATTCTTTTGATCAATATTTCCTATTAATAAGGAACTTTAAATTGAATTTTAGAGTATATCTTTGATATCTTAAAACATTTACTCTTCTGTAATATCTGGAATCTGTTATAATACTTATTCAGGATTAAAAAAGTCTTTTCTCAAAATAGAAGGAAGATATAATTAAAATGACTATTCATATAATTTCATTTAAAATATATCTTTTATTGAAGTAATAAGAGATTGTTTAGCTCTAATAAAATTAGGAGATTCTTCATTTGTTTCTTCTATCTCAATAAAACTTTTAGATTTATCTCTAAATGGATTAATGCATCCACATATTTTTTCAAAAAAGCTTTTAACTTTTTCACTGAATCCATAAGCTTTAATTTCAATTTATTTACCCATATCTAAATCAACTGAGTATCCAGTTGTTAAGGGTTACCTAAGTTATTTATTTATTTCTTCATCAGATATAAAGTTATAAATTCTAATAGATGTAAATTATTTTATTGTTAAAGGTTTTGTATATTATATAAAAACAGCTCCATAAACAGAAGGTAATTTAAATTAAGTAGAAACTTTCCACCATTAATTATTTTCTTTATTCAATAAAATTGGATAATGATTATTTTTTTAATATACATTTTCTTCTTTCTTACATTAATCTTCTGAAAATTCTTGTAAATCTTATCCTGCATGAAGTAATAAGTTCAATTTACCCTCTTTATCTAAAGGTTTCAACTCTTCAGAATGAACCATTAATGGCAACTTTGATTAATTTGATTCACATAACGATATTAATTTTAAATCATCTGGAATGAATAGATTTTCTTAAGGTTTAGTGAATTATTTTTATAATTTTGAATCTTTCTAAGTAATAATTTTAATTGTATCCTTATTAAATTTCTAAACTGCATATTCTAACCTATAGATTTCACTTTTCTTATCTAATTTCTTATCTTTCAAGAATTCTTTATTATTGTCTTTCAATTTATTATCAGTGAATTAAAATTCATCATCCCCAATTAAAATTAATAAATTATCTGTTTTCTTTAATTCTGATATATATTTTTATATAAGATCTTTATCAAATACATCCATGATAAAACTAGATGAAAGTACTTCAGCAGGTTCATATTTATTCAAACTCTTTGCAATATTAGAAATTTCTTAAGGTCCTTCCATATATTCAAAATTGATTTTAGATATTTAACTTTATTCTTTAAATATCTCTTATAAATATTTTTCATCTTTTAACCATTCCTCTAATTATTGGATATAATTATTTATAATCCTTGTAATTTCAAGTGCAATATTACCATCTTAAAGAGGTTATTCAGGTAAAGTTAACTCAATAATATAATTGACAAAATGACTTTATTCAATAAATATTGAAGATTCAAATTCGATAACTAATTATTTTTCCTTCAGAATATCTTTGAGATTTCCATTATTCAATAAATAATCAATCAATTCTAATGGTTTTTGATGAACAAATTATTCTCTTCCACTTAATTACCAATTCAATAAAACCAATTTCTTCTCTGTTTTATATTTACCCAATAATCCAAATTAATAAGGAAATCCTGAAACTGATTAAGGTATTAAATTTTTATTTTAAATTTTAGAAAATACTTTAACCAATTTTTCCATTTCATTTAAAGATAATCTACTTGAAACAGCAAGACTCATAATATTAGAAGAATAATTATCTTAATAAAACTTTTTAAGTGCTTCAACTACACCTTCTTTAGCCAAAACATCATTATTTCCTATACTAAATCTACTTGCTGGATGTTTAGGATCTGCTAAAAGTGCAAAAAGATTAACAACCTTCCAATCTTCTGTACTTACATCTATTTCATATTCAGAATTAACAGCATTTCTTTCTTTATTTACAGCATCTTCACTAAATAATGGATCAATAAAAAAATGAGCAAATGCATCCAATGCTTTCCCTAAATGATTTACAGTAATCTCAAAATAATAATTTGTATTTTATGCTTCTGTATACGCATTTGATGATCCTCCCCCTTTTGCCATTAAATCATCAAAATAACCAGTTTAAGGATATTTTTAAGATCCAATAAATAACATATGTTCACAAAAATGAGCTAAACCGGGATATTCATTTGGTTCATGCCAAGATCCTGCTTTTACATCCATAGCTGCTGATGCCATTTCAGATTCTGGATCATGTATCAATAACACTTTTAAATTATTCTCTAATTCCAAATATCGATAATCTCTATTATCAATTATTGGTTTTATCACATTTACTTTATCTATATGCTATCCTTATAATGGCTCAAGTGTGCCAGTTTAAGATGCTGATATGAAATTTCTCTCAGGAATCTAATCCTTTATTGCATTCGCTGCAGAAACGTATTATAATGGTTTATCCAATTGTACCAAACCTGAAAGATCACATATGAAAAGCCCAAGAAGTGTGATCAAAACTACAAATAACGTACTAATTATTGTATTACAAGCTGAATTTAGTTTCGCTCTCTCTATTGCTTCTCTTCTTAATTTTTACATTATTATTATTAAAAATTAATTATACTTTTTTATTTAATATCTATCAGTTTGTTTACTTTTATTATACATTTTTCATTTTATTTTCTGATTAAATATTGTCATTATTTTAAATATATAATCTTTTTACTTCTTTCTATCTGTAAATATAGATAATTTACACAAATCATTTGAATTATTTCATTTAAAATTTAATTCAAAATCCAACTATCTTTTCTTTATAGTAACTGTCTTGTAATCTGTAGTATTTTTCTACCTAAAATTAAAATATTGTAAAGGATTTTATTTTCGAAAATATTATCCCAGTTTACTTAAGAATTATTATTATCAAAATTATTTATTAATTTTCTTTTAGAACAAAATTTTGAAGCAGATTTGATAATTTTCTTCTTAAAATATTGCTGACAGATATTAATTACAATTTCATTTATTTAGATGACAAGGATTTATTTGTAATTATATTATTTTTTTGATAATTAATTGAAGTTTCCTTATTTTTTCTCTTTATTTATCTATTAAATTTAAGAATCAATTGATTATTTGCTCTTTTATTTTATAATTGTGTTATTTTCAATAATTAAAGTCAACTATTGTTAAAACTACATTATTTTTGAAGTTATTACATAATAAAAAAAATACTTGAAATTAATAAAGATGATAGGAATTTCTAAGAAGTTTTTTGCATAATTAAATTGATTAGATGGAACAAAACAACATTTCTGAGCATGATAATTTAATTATGATTAATTAAATAAATCTTGTCTAATTGTTGATATCCATTTCTCTTTAATCAGATCAACTATTTATACTTAATAAGCTATACATAATTAGATGTTTAAATATCAAAATTTTGTTTGATCTTTATAAAGATTTTTAAACTTAGATTTTAAATAGATTATTCTATCAATATAAATTTAAATATCAAAATCATTGCGTATATAAGCCCTTAACCTTCCTTTCATCCTAATTTTTTAGAAATATTATTACTAGCATGGTAAGACCAAGAAAATCTTCTTTCCCATCTGGTCTAGGTACCTTAAGAATTGCATCAGGATTCTAAACTTGAGGTATATAATCAGGTATGAAAGGTTTCAGAATTGGTTCAATATTTATTGTTATTGGTTAATATCTAAAAAATTAATTATAAATACTATGAAATTATTTTAAAAATATCCTCTTAATTTGTAGGCTTTTATTCTAAATGTTTTTGGTTTTCTCTCTATTTTTCCTTTTATAGTTTTTTAATATTTAACTTTTTGCAATCCCTATTTAATCCTGTTCTCTTATTCCTTTTAAGTTTCATTAAAATTTATTTTTATTTTATCGTTTTATTTTTTGATTGATACTTCTCTCTACCATTTAGTTATTATTGTACCACATCATGTACGCCATAATCATCGTTTTTCCTATCTGGCCTTGGTATCATGATACAATCTTCTACATTGTTTATAGCAGGTATATAATCAGGTATGAATGGCTTAAGTTTTGAATCCAATTCTATATTTTTTGGTTTATATTTCTAGCTTTTATGTTTTTAATAAGATCTCATGTTACATATAGATTTTTAAATTTTCTAAAGACCCTTCGACATTGTAATTTCTTAATGGTTCCTAATTTTACTGGAATAGTTTTTCATTTTTATTATAATCACTGTATAATTCATAATTTACTAAACTTACCATTATTTTATTTTAATTTGCTCCTTTATATCAACTTCAAAGATTTCTGAAAAAGATTATGATGTTTCTTCATACATTGAAAATTCTTCAGTTAATTCATCAGCTATTCTATTTTTGATAGGATCATTACGTTTAAATATCTTCACTCTTTTAAAGGAGTTGTTTTTTACATTATTAACTATTACATTTCATAATTTAATTAAAAAAAATTATCAGTCATAATATAATAACATAATTTATTTTCAGCAAATTTCTAGATATTTTAGAAATTAAATCAGAATTTAAAGGTGCTTACAGAAACATCTTAAAATTAATTATAAAAAATGACTGAAAAAAAAAAATACTGTAGAATCTCTCATTAGATGAATATTTCAACAAATAAATTATCTATTTAATTTTCCATTTTTAAAACTCTTAAAATCCATTTCACTTTCTATCAATGATAAATAAATTTTTTTAATTTTGAAACGCAAATCAGAGATTAAAAATATAAATATATTCGTGTTAAAGTATTGAGTATATTGATAAGATGAAAATCTTTTATAATAATGCTTAAAAAAGAAAGAGTAAATTTTATAAAATTAATTAAAAAAATTTTTTGTAATTCTATAATTCGAGGATTAAGAAAACAAAATATAAGATAAAGAGAGTAAAAAATAAGATTTCTGCTGTTAGAGAATACATAATTTTGAAATGGGTAAAATTTTATTTCTATAAATACTTCTTAATTAGATGAAATATAAATTAAGTTGAAGTTTTCTTTTACAAAACTTATTTTTTATTATTTCTTCATAATTAAACTTATTAACTATCAGAAATTAAAATTGTTGTTATTTGAATTTGAAAAAGAAATCATTTTAATTATAAAACTCTAATTAAAATTAGACAAGTAAATATCATTTTTTCTATAAATTATGCAATTTAATAAAATTTTGTTGTTCTTGATCATCATTATTAGATGCTAATTAGTAACTAGTTTTTCTTTAAAATGCAGGGCTATTTACCTTAATTATTTTGACTAATAAATATAAATTTATGATATACGATCGGCATGCATATATTTGTTTACATTATTATTAATAGAAGTGTTCAAATTCGTTTAGTTTAATTCTTTTTCTGATAGTTAGCTTTATAATTTTTTGAGTTAGTCATTATTTTTTTTTTATAAATGATCTAGCCATGAGGTTGGTTAAGTTATTGAATCTTTGGAATTTTACTTATTGTGATGAAGACATTTTTTTGAACTTTAAGTGGATTAAATATCCTAATTAATAATTTATTATTTTTTAGGAGTTGATGTTTTTGGTTTTTAGAGGAGGGAAGACATTTCTTTAGAAAATATTTCATTTTAGATGATAATCTAATTATGATTGGTATTGTTTATTATATGATTTACAACTTTGTTTTCTTCAATATTATCATGACTTTAAGCACTATGATAACTTCCTTAAGATCTATATTAAGTAGCTGCTCTAAGACTACTTAATTAGCCTTGTAATAATTAAATTTGTTTTTCTTTAATTTCTAAAAATGAAATTAAATAATTACATAACATTGCATTCATTTATGATGTATTATTAGAATCCATAAATCCTTTTAATCTTTTTTCTAAATTAATTATATTTAAAGATAATTACTTTATTCTTTTTCTTGACTTTCTCTTAATTCTTGTAATTAAGCTTCTAAACAAATATTCCTAGCCTACAACTCTGAAATTTCTTTAAGTCTACTATCCATTTATTCATAAGCAGCTTTTTCTATTTCTGTGAGTTCTTAAATCCTTTCATTTTGACATAGAATTATTTCTGAAATAATGATAAAATAATACAATTTAATTCTTAATTTTTATTTCTTTCAGCTTCCAAACTTAATTCAAGAATTCGACATTTTTAGTTTAGATCTTCAGAACATATGTTATTTGTATAACTTTTCAATTCTGGAGGTTTGAGAATATTTGCATCATCAATCTAAATCTAAGAATTTGATTATTTGAAATCTTTATTCTCTTCTGTATTGTTTTAAATTTCATCTTCATCTGAAACTGTATAATTAGAAACACCACTTCTAAATAGAGAACCATATTGTAAATTAGAAATTTACTTAGCATTTCCAGAGGAACTCATCATTTTACTTGCTATATTCATTTCTATTTATCTAATACCTTTTTGAGATTTGATATTACAACTTCCAAAAATTGAATCCACTAATTAAGATTAAGATTCTTCTACATTTAGTGGATTATGAAATTCATCGTTTTCGAGCTTATTATCTATTTCTGTTAAATATGTATTTTCTCTGATGATTTTTTGAATCACTATATAATTTTATTGAATACAAATCGTCGGATCTATTCTCATTGCATTTTCAGACATTATTTTGCTTAAATTATTGAAATATAAATAAAATTTAATACTTCAATTAATATTAAAATATAATAGTAATGTTATCATGAAATTTTCAATTCTAAGCTTTCAAGCATGAAAGTTACTCCTTTAATTTTATATTCTCCTATTCACATTTATTGATATATTCTTTATAAACTTATAATGTTTAGGTTGTTCTTATTAATAAATCTTAGAGCGCTTGAATTGTCTATTTATCTTTATAAGTTGAATTTTATTAGTGAGAGCATTCAGAAGATTTTTTAGGTGCAAAAACCTTCATGGAGTTATGGATTCTTCTTTTGATGTTACTTTAATTATTTGTCATCAATGATTTAGAGTCGATTTTTACATTTATTTAAGAAGAATATTAACCTGGAGTAGTTCCATTATTGATGTTGTGAACACAACTATCAATACTGCTAATTTGCTATTAAGATTTTTATTTAATCAATTAAGCATAAGGACTTGTTTTCAGTAATTTTTATAGTCCAAATTGAATATTAGGATTTGAATGACTACTTTTTGCTTAAATAGGAGTGACAACATCAAACTGTAATAGATTTAATTTACTGGACAACGAGTATTGTTTTGGATTAATTTCAACAGGACTAAATGGTTTTCTTTTTGAATTCTCAACTAAGGATTGCTCTATTTGGAGTGGAATAATCATTTTTATTTATAAATTATTATTTAATATTAATTATCTGGAAATTGTATTTTATCTTTAAAAAGAATGTAAACTAAATCAAATTAAGGAAAAGCAAACGATCAAATATGTTTATTGATTCCATCTAGCTCGAACAATAGAAGATTTTTTTATTTAACTTTTCCTCTTGCTTATAAATCATCAGTAGGTATATCAAATATATAATTTTCTTATACCAAATGGATATGAAAATCATTTTTATAGACTGAACTATTAATAAATAGATAGATACATTAATTTTTCTCAAGTACAATGAATTTTTTACTATATAATAATAATCCAAAATTTAGTATCTATTTTTTAATTTTATCTAGTTTTTTCTAAGTATTTTTTTAAGATTTTGTCCACTTTTTAATTTTATTTGATAGATTAAATTAAATTCTTGTATCAACAGGATTTATAATAATTTAGCAATTTCAGGGAAGAGTTAAGAGAACTTTTCAAAATTAGTTACTTCTTTGGAAATTCTTTTATCATATATTCATTAATTAATTTTAGAATTAAGAAAAGTAGTTATTTCTCTTTCTTTCTTTTAGTTTTGGACCCTATTTTAAAAGAGCCATCATAAATTTAATTAGTCTAATCCTTTTAATTTAATTATTCAATATATGTTAAAATTTGATTAATTTTTTTGGCTTTGTTAATAGTAAATTTGAAGAGAATTCTTACATTAATCAAAAGTTAGTATTCGTGCAATTTTTTTTCAGTTTTTATAATTTTTATTTTCTCTGACAGCTCAAAAATAAATTTTTGGTCATTCTCGTACTAATATTTACCAATTATAATGAATTCTTCATGATTATAATTTAAACTTTAAAAGATGCTTATGATTTGTTCAGTATTAAATTTTCGATCAACAACTTGCATATTAATAAGATTGATAGCTGCTGATATAATGGTATATATTTATATTTAAAATAAATTCTTATAATTTTTCATAATTTGGTCATGCTTTGAATATTTTCTTTTTATTTAGTTAGATCATTTTTTAGATTAGAAAACTTCTTTGTAGCTTTCTGATAATATTCAACTCTATCTTGAACAGCTTATATCATATAAGTAGTTTCAGTATGCATTTAATCAATTTTTTCGATCAATTATTTTTACCATAGATCGGCTAATTAATCAATAAGATTATTCATTGTTTTAGCATTATCAAACATCACAGTTTCTCTGGAATTGGATTCTCTTTATAAATTCATAATATCGGCTAATTAAGTATTGGTTTGTAGAAATATTTATAATTGATTTTTGTCAGTATCAATAATGTCATTACTATCTTCTGATTTTTGTAATTGCTCAATAATTTTCTTGATTTTATTAATCTTCCTCTAATAATCTTGCATGACTTCATAGATAGATCTATTTAAAATGGTAGCATCTTCAACGAAAGGCTTAACTTCTTTGATTCTTTTGTCAACTTATTATTTAACTTCTGAGAGTAATTATGGGTAATCCTACAACATTTAAAGATAAGTAGTTCTATCCAAACTGAAGAGTTAAGTATTCTTACTACAGATAGCAGTTCCTATCCTTCTCACATCATAAATTGCTTCCAATAATCCTAAAGTATCTCCTTCTCTATAAACTGAAATGGTTGAACCATCAGCAGCCCTTGTTGTTATCTCTCCTATTGAAATAAAATAGATTTCTTCTGCATAATCATCAGTTGAAAATAGAATATCTCCTTATGCCCAATTCAACGGAGATATCTTTGGTATCACATCCATTATTAATTCTATATCTTTATCTTGTAAAAACTTGATCTTTTCAATAACATGAGCGTAAATACACAACTATACAGAAGATCTTAGACATGTAGGCAACTATTTAATCNCTAATATTTACCAATTATAATGAATTCTTCATGATTATAATTTAAACTTTAAAAGATGCTTATGATTTGTTCAGTATTAAATTTTCGATCAACAACTTGCATATTAATAAGATTGATAGCTGCTGATATAATGGTATATATTTATATTTAAAATAAATTCTTATAATTTTTCATAATTTGGTCATGCTTTGAATATTTTCTTTTTATTTAGTTAGATCATTTTTTAGATTAGAAAACTTCTTTGTAGCTTTCTGATAATATTCAACTCTATCTTGAACAGCTTATATCATATAAGTAGTTTCAGTATGCATTTAATCAATTTTTTCGATCAATTATTTTTACCATAGATCGGCTAATTAATCAATAAGATTATTCATTGTTTTAGCATTATCAAACATCACAGTTTCTCTGGAATTGGATTCTCTTTATAAATTCATAATATCGGCTAATTAAGTATTGGTTTGTAGAAATATTTATAATTGATTTTTGTCAGTATCAATAATGTCATTACTATCTTCTGATTTTTGTAATTGCTCAATAATTTTCTTGATTTTATTAATCTTCCTCTAATAATCTTGCATGACTTCATAGATAGATCTATTTAAAATGGTAGCATCTTCAACGAAAGGCTTAACTTCTTTGATTCTTTTGTCAACTTATTATTTAACTTCTGAGAGTAATTATGGGTAATCCTACAACATTTAAAGATAAGTAGTTCTATCCAAACTGAAGAGTTAAGTATTCTTACTACAGATAGCAGTTCCTATCCTTCTCACATCATAAATTGCTTCCAATAATCCTAAAGTATCTCCTTCTCTATAAACTGAAATGGTTGAACCATCAGCAGCCCTTGTTGTTATCTCTCCTATTGAAATAAAATAGATTTCTTCTGCATAATCATCAGTTGAAAATAGAATATCTCCTTATGCCCAATTCAACGGAGATATCTTTGGTATCACATCCATTATTAATTCTATATCTTTATCTTGTAAAAACTTGATCTTTTCAATAACATGAGCGTAAATACACAACTATACAGAAGATCTTAGACATGTAGGCAACTATTTAATCAATGGTTTTGTTTGCATTATTATTTGCTACCTCGAATTCTCCAGCTATTACGATTCAAGTTGTCTCTTTATCAATTAAAACACTTTAAGTTTAAACTCAATATTTACAATAATCAGGAATCTTTATTTTATTCTGAATTACATTCAATCTCATAATCTTATTCTTTGCTGATTTCTCTGAATCTCCTACTGCTCCTTATAGATTTGAAATCATAAATGAAAAAAATGCACTTCCTACTCCCATCCAAAATATTGCATATAATTTCTCCCAATCTGTTTAAGGAGAAACATCTCCAAAACCAACTGTTGTTAATGTTTACAATGCCCAATGAAATGATCGAATATATAGAGTTGCCTCATCTGCTTCATCCAATCCTAAATTTGATACCCATGTTATTTCATCTCTTTCGATTTTAGTTATCAGATAATAAAAACAACTACTTAAATGCAAAAATAATAATGACATTCCCATTATTTTAATCATTCTCTTTATACTTGCATCCAACTTTATACAAGATTTTATCAACTTTGAAAACATTGATGATCTATTTGTTTATTAAAATCGAACTATTCTGAATAACTTTACCACTTTCAATAATCTATACAAACGAGGTAATCTTGCCAACCTCAATAATTGAGTATACGAACCTTTGCTTGATGAATTTACATTTGTGTCAGTTTATTCATCTGGCTAGAATATCTAATCGAATGGAATCCTTAGATTTTATATTAAACTAATACACTGAAGCTAAATCCAATAAAAACCAACTCTTCAAGTAATTCATCGCTATATATTTATTGTTTGTAACTAACACATTATCAGCATCTTAATAAGCAGTAAAAAAATTTATTATTACGTCAGCCATGAAAACATAATTGAAAACCTCATCTATCGAATTCCAAACTTCACTTGTCGAATCTTAAAAAGATAATCTAAATGGTAAAATTGTGCATGTATAAAGCATTAAAATTATTATGATAAAATCCCAAAATGCTTTAAATTTTGATTCTGGATATATAACCCATTTGTTTATTTAAGTGGCCTCTACAAAATCATTATCATCTCTAACTCCATAGTAATTTTAAAGAGTAATCCTTTTCATTGCATTTATTCGAGCTATAACTTTCACTTTTTTACGTGCTATAGCCCACAATTTTTTTCCAGGACGAGTCACTGGTTCTTCCATTCAAAGAAATTTATATAATTAATAATAATTTTTAAAAAACTTATTACTTTCTTTTACATATAAATTACAAAGTATATTAATCACATTTATTTTAAGAATCAAATTATACTTCTTACTAAAAATTATGTTTAAAAGATTATAATTAAAAACACTAATGTTAGCATAAAATATAAAATATTTTTTAATTATAGTCAATATATTTGATAAACTTTTTTCTAAGTAAATGAAAACTGAAACCGATAGATACTTCAAAGCACGCGCTTTTAAAAAGTTTATCTGAATTACCATATTGATATTCTCTTTACTAAGATTATCTTATATACAATTATTCATAAAATAATTTTAACATAATTTAATTTTGAAGTGCACAATGAAATTTTAATGATTACAACAAAGATTATAAAGTCAAAGTATATACTGTAAAAGATCTTATATCTTTTTAAAAATATCCTATTAAAATTCTCCTATGAATCAACCCTATCTCCAACTTTTTAGTTATATGTACCTTTCAATTTATTGATAATCATTTAAATAAATCGTTATTAATAAGCAGTAATTCAAATTATTTTCATCTTGAAAATATTTTTCAAGTTTTTAGTACAAATATAATGATTTCCATCAGATTAAATAAATATTTTGATTAATTAATTGTTTCTTACAAGTTTTTATTATTTTTTAAGATAAAACTTGATTCATATGATGAGACAATTTTTATTTATAAAAATAAATCGAAATTTCTATTCTGAAAATATTATCCTAATTATTAAGTAAAATTTATAATATAAAAAGATAATATCTAAAAACACTTCTATAATTTCAACAATTTTCCATTTGAAACTATTAATAATAAGTGAGAAAAATTTAATTGAGAATAATTTTTATCAGTTAATATCGTTCTTTATAATAGTTATCTATTTAAAAATATTATATGTTAAAATGAGAATCAATTAAGTTTATTTTAATATGCATATGAAATAATCAATATCAATTAATGATTGCAGCAGGTTTTCTGGTTTATCTATCATTGTATGTTAAGGATAGTTTTTCTGCTTTTTCTTTTTCTTATTTTTAGACATCTGCTGATCTAGCTTCTAAACTTGCTGACTATTTATATTTTACAAATAAGATTACTTATGTAACATCCAATGGATAGAGTGGAAATTCTTAATCGCCTTTGAATAAGGCTCTAAGTTCGAAATAATATTTAGCATATAAATCACCCTTAACAGTGACATTATATTGAAGCAATTCTAAGAATTTAGCTTCTAATTTATTAATTTCCTGGAGTTTAAATAGTATAGTTACTTATGTAGTGAAGAAGGGATAGATGAATGCAAAATCAGCATTTGATAAATATTTGTCATCCCATACCTTCTAGGCTACTAGTAATGAACTTAACAATAAAGGTCTCCAATTAGTTGGATTTAATGTTAACCCTGTAAAAGCAATCAATCGATTTATATAGACTAAGCAAATGATACAACATTCTGGACTGAATCTAAAAGAATATATAATAATAATGATTACTATGCACAATCATAGAGTGCTTTCATGAATTCATAGATATTGTCAACACTTGGAGGTTCTCTTAGTAATTGCTAAATGTTTAAAAGAAGTGACAACCTTTCTTTATTCATCAAATTCTTCTGGTTTTTCTTCAATATACTTTTCTTCACTAAAGAAATACAATTCTGAAGTTTTAGGAATTTGTTTTCCTTACTCTTAATCCTCCTACATTTAAGAATGTAAGATTGTAGAAACAGCCTGGATGATTGATTTTACATTTGGGTTTGATATGGTCGACTTAATATACCTAAGATTAAAAATAGAAATCTAACATTGAAGAAGTCGTATTTGAGTATCTGTCTTTTTGTTTGTTATTCATCATTTAAATAAATATATTTTTTTAATGATCTTTTTGTATAAGTAAACATTCTTATTAAATATATTTGTTTTAGTAAATAAATAATATGAAGTAACTCAATACATGAGATTTAAATGGTTGGAAATGTAATATTATGCGTAATTTATAAAATTTTAGTATTAAACAATTATTCATGATCAAATCTTTATTAATATAATTTTAAATTGATGTAGTCAGACGCAGTATTCAGATCAGCAAAGGGTTGGGATAATTTTAGTGATAAATATGCTAGAAGAATATAAAAAAATACATCTGTATTTTGTATGACACTTTTGAACATGGTACATTATGAAGAAGCTGATAGGTAAATGAATGAAATAAATATAAAAGTATTTTGGATGCAGGATGTGGAGCTGGATATTTACACTAACATATGATAAATTAAAAGAAGACTGAAGCTCATTTATATGGATTTGATCTAAGTTCCGAAATGGTTAAGAGAGCTGGAGCAAGGATGAAAAGATTTTTAAAATAAGAGAAAATAGGGTCTTTAGATTTATTAACTTAAGAGGAAGTGAATTAAGTTAGTTTTGGTATATATAATTATAGATTTAATTAATTTAGATGATGAAATATTTAATAAAATAAATTATCACTTATCTGTAGGAAGTGTTGAAGACTTAAGTCAATATCAAAATCAAATGTTTGACATTTATATTTGCAATCTTGTCTATTAAATAATAGGAGATTAAGATATAGCCATGAGAGAAGCATTTAGAGTATTAAAACCAGGAGGAAAAATAGGAATCACTGTTTGGGGAAGAAAAGAAAACTGTGCAGCTTTATGGTTTTTAAAAGAGTTAGCTTTTGAAACTGGATTATCTCCAGTTGGAATGTAAGGTGGGAGATTTGTTTAACATTCAGAAGAACTTATTTCTTTAGCTACTAAAGCAGGATTTATTAATTCAAGTTTTATTTCTATTTATTTTTAGTTTGTTGGTAGTAAATGGTTCCTTTCGATATTTTGGGTATGAATAAAGTTGAAGAATTCTTCAATCCTGAAATTGAAGGACTTTTAGCTGGAGCTACATAAGAATAAAAAGATTCTTATTATAAAGCTTTAGAAAAGATGATAAATGATTATAAGAAAGAAAACAAGCCATTTCCATTTGATTGTTATTTGTTGGTTGCAGAAAAACCACAATGATTATTATAGATATTGCATAAATTATGATCAATTCTATACAAAAATTATCATTATAATTAATAAATAAATTCTGTTTAAATTGTTCCTTTATTCCTTAAATTATTATTAAATATTTTTGATTTTTCTAATTAAAAAAAATAATAAATGAAATTTAGATCAAAAATTTAAATTATCAATTAAAAAAATTAATAAGATAATCTCACATATTTATATAATCTTTATTTACCTCTTATAAAATGATTAAATTTTATTTATTTTAATATTTCTAAATCTGCTTGCTTTATAGCATCTTAAAATAATCTCTTATCAAGTAATTTATAATTAATCTATTTCATAAGCCTTGAATAATCCTCTAATGCATTCAATATATCTTTTCGAGTTTTGTATCCAGGTTAAATCTCTTTATGAATAAGTTAAAAATCTTTTAAACTTTTGACCAACAAAGTGATTGAAGGTATTGTATCTCAATCCAAAGATAACTGATAATAATGTTTATTATAAAGTTTGAAATGCCTAAAAGTAAGACCTGAGTTCACTAAAATTTCACCTGTAATTTTATTCATTAAACTAACTCTAATAGCATTATGATGAATCTTAACAATCGTAGCGCATTATACGGCATATGTTTCATATGGATCAATTTTGAGTTAGCGAAAAAACCTTGTATAATTTCTTGGAAATAAATTAGAGTATTATTCATCAAGTTTCTGCATAGTACTTGGAAGTTAGAAATCATACAATACTTTTTTTTTAATCTATTGATTGTTTAACTAGTATTTAGTTAATAATTATCTGCTTTCCTAGTATTTATTTAATTATTATCTGTTTATAGTATGTGTATTCAAATATCTTTTTAGGCTATAGTCTCTAACATATTTTTAGTTAATTTTAATGCCATTTCAGCGTCTAAAATTTAGCACATCGATCTTCTGGTGAACTATTCTATTGTGCTGTTGTCTCTTTAAAATACATTCTAGGTAAATCATAAGAGTTTTCCTTCCATAAAAAATGAATAAAAGTATATTAATTCTTATTACGATTTGTAATTATTATTCGAAACTTTGATTTAAATTATATGTTTCTTAAGACTTAATTTCTAATTTATAACCCAACATTTATTAAGAAATTTAGTATTATATCTCTAATTATTCAAAAGCCTCTTTATTTTAACAGGACTAAACATTTTAGAAGAATTTTTTTGCTTCATCTTCCTGTTCGAAAATGAATTTCTTCTGAAAAGGATTCTTATCAAGTTTACTCTTAATTTCTCTCTTTTACTTAAAGTAGCCTTCAAATTTGGTTGAACCAATACAAAATATTTACTAATCTTCATTTTATTTAATATTTTATAAATTATTAATTAATTTTAATTACATCTAAATTTTGCAATTGAATCATCCACTTTAATCTCATCTTTTTTTTGTTAACAATAATTCTCATCCTCAATTTTTGCTTCATTTTCATCTCCAATTTTAAATTCTAAATCATTTAAATCTATTCCAAAAAAGTTTAAGTCTAAATAAATAGATATTATATATATATTTTTTTTTGTATAAAATTTCTCATTTTTTTGAGAAAAAAATAATCATCGAGTTAAGATGTAAGCTTAATAATTTTTGAAATACTGATTATTCGTACTTTTATTTCTAATTCAGGTATGCTCAAGAATTCTAGTTTATTTGAATGCTAATGTTTATCAATTTCAGACCCTTGCAGTAGACTTACTATATATTTCTAATTATTATTATATTTATCGATACTTGATAGCTGGTTGATAATTACAACTCAAACATTTGATAAAGAGAAAAGCTATAATCTGAAATAAAATTAATAAAATATAATTATATTTACAAGGAGTACAAAGATTTCATTTTTTTATTATAGTTGAATAATTTTAATTGGAAGAATTGCAAATTGTGAAAGAACAATTAGATTTAGGAGATGCACTCCTTAATATTTTTCTTGATAAGGGACTTATTCTAATTTAATTTATTTTTTTATCCTCTTCTTCTCTCAATTATTTTTGAAATTGTTTATATTATAATTCTTCTTAATATTATTTTTGTCTTTCTAATAAGTTTGCATTATTGTATTTCTTTTACACAATAAATCTAGAACCTTCATAAATTTCAGGAGAGTAAGTGAATTATACTTACTCACCTAATTCCTACTCCATTTTCAACTTTTATTTGAAAATTTTCTCCTCAGTTTGTTCTAACCTAAAATTGTAATTCTTAGCTAATACCATTTCTTTTATGAATCATACCATTGTTCAAATCCTTTTTTAGGTTTTCCAGTAGGAATCTTATATTCCATCTTTTTTTCACCTTATTTTTTTTTTTCAATATTTTCTTCAGTTTTGATAATTTGATTATCTTCATATTTTTTTTCAATACGAGTCGATTTATTAATGAATGAAGACAAATTATATTATTTTGATTTATTTTCATATTCTTTTTAAAGCCAAGAATTATAAGGTGAAGGTTACAATATTCCAGTATAATGTTTTTATTGTTCTGGAGTTCGAGCTGATTTTTATTCATAAGTAGAAATGTTAGAAGGAGATTTCTAATTATTTAAATTAGTTTAATTTTTATTGCAATAAGATTTTGTGTTTGCAACATTTCCCATTTTTTTTTTTGGTGTTTTTAGTAAATAACTTTACTTAAATAAATAGTTTCCTTTTAAATTTGCCTTATTTGATTTGGATGGAAAACAAATTTTCGAAGAAGGTTAAGAACGATCACTTGTAATTTCATGACTTTTGTTTAATTATAATAGATTAGTTTGATTTTGATTCTTTTAATTAATACTGAAATCCATAGGGTATGGTATAGGAGAGATTAAATTACTATCATATTCTTTATTCTAAATATGTTAGAGTAACTTTTCTTTAAATTAAAGTTATTGTTCTTTTAATTGTTAAACTAAAATTAATTGTTATTTTAATACTTTGATGATTTCTTTGTTCAAATACTTCTAAATCAGAATCATAATCTTCATCAATTATTATTGTTGACATTGAATAAATTTTATTTATAATAAATAAATACATTGAATTATCAATTAAAGTATTAGTCTTACCAAAAGCTATTGATCTGTTACTGCAAGATTAATTTATATTAGTTTAACCTTTTTTTCTTATTAGGAGAAGCTGATCGTTTTTAAGAAACGGAAGAATCCTGAAGATTATCCTTAGCTCTACTAAGAGATCGAATCCTGAGTGCTATACTTTCTGTCGATATCATAGATTTTTAGGTTTTACTGTTGGCTCAATTTAATAATATGATACATTAATGGGTTGTGTAAAAAGCAGGCATTTAGGCTACAGTATTGGAATGATTGTCAATAGAAATATTGAGTTTTCTATCCTTTTTAGCACTTGTCATAATTCTTTTAATTTTAACCTAAGTAATTTAAGGGCTTAGATCATTTTGGGTTGTCAATTAACTAAAGTATTATTTCTATTTAGGATAATTGTGTATTTTCATAATATCGCAGTTTCTTAGTGGTAAAGAATGCACAGTATAACCTTCTTGAATAAGAGATTTAGGATTTGGATGAATTTAATGAATAAATTAAGATCTTCTAATTTGAACATTTTGTAGAATGTCTATGTTAAATAAATTACGAATTCTTTTCTCAGCAAAATCAATTTAATGTTCTTTTCCAATTCTATGATGTAATGATTAATTCATATATATAATAATAATAAAGAAATATACATATATATACTGATTTATGAATATAACAATACACTCATTAAATCATGGTTATTTGCTTAAATTATACTAATAAATTTTAAATACCTAGAACTTTAAGACGATATTGAAGGTCTAGATCTGCTTTCACTAGAAGAAGGTGATCTTCTATTAGGTTTCTTCTATTATTTCTATTATTATCTATATCTTTTTTTAGATTTAGATGATTCTGAAGACTTCGATGAAGAAGATGAAGATCGCCTTCTTTTTCTTTCTTTATCTCGACGACTTAGAAATATTATAAAAAATTACTTTCTTCTTTCTGAAGGTGTTCTTGATTTTGGACAATCCTTACGTATATGGCCTTTTTTATAACAACGATAACAAGTGTCACGTAAATCTCCTGGTGAAATGGGATATGAACCATACCTTCTTTACACTCATTTGCCCAATGTCCCTTACGGCCGCAATTGAAACATACGTCTCTGGATGTGGGTCCTCTTGCACCTTACGGTCGATCATCTTTTCAATTTCATCCATCTCTTTTTTCTACCTCTTGGTTTGACTGTGATACGATCACTGCCTTCATTCAATCGTTTATTGTCCATTTTTGAAATGGCTGCTCTGGCATCATCTCCACTTTCAAACTCAATAAAAGCATGAGTATTTCGTAAATCAATATCCTTGATTTTACCGAATTTCTCAAACTCTTATTGAAGATGCTCTCTTCGGATCCTCGAACTCAAACGCCCAACATATACTTATCGACTCATAATTAATTTAATTAATTGATATTTTTGACAATATTTTAAATTATTATTCATAATCATATTTCTATGTATATCCATTAGGTTTAGAAGATTATTTTCAAGCATCACTATATTTACAAACTCTTTTTAGATTATTTCCACTACTATTATAAATAAGGAAAACTTCTCCTAATGATTAATTCGCTGATCTAAATTTAAAATAATATTTTAAAACTTCATATACCTCACAGAAGTAGACACACTCGAAGTCTTTAAAATTACTATTAAATTAATTTTTGAATTGGTTTTATTATAAATATATTTGCATAATTATTGTTTTAAATGATATCTTTTTCATTTCTTATTTCATGAGAGATTTAATTACCATTTCTGTTTAATTATCTAATTCTATTCTTCCTAATTTTTTTGATTTTCCTATTAGCTTTTTTAAATTTACACTGGGTTAAGCCTTTTATATTTAAATAAAATTATATTCAAATGGTTCTAAATACTAATATATTTTAAGTAAAGATTCGCTTAATTGTATTAGAAGACTTACATTTTCTAATCTCATCGTTTTAATTTTGACCAAATTTCTAATATAAAAGAGCAAGCTTGCCCTTAAAATTCATAATTAATCTAATCCTGAATTATCATAAATGTCTTTTTGCAATACTGTAAAGCTAAATTTATATTGTGTCTAGATAAACAATCCAGTAATAATTTTTTTCCTTTAATCTTTCATATTTAATATCATTATTTCATTTTCACCATTTCTATATAAAATTTATAACAAATTATTCCACTAATTCTCCTGATAAGTTGCAAATCAAAATATTAAGCAATAAATTTGAAATTAATTGTCTAATATCATGAGCTGAATCGGGAACATAATAAACGAGCCCTATCTAATATTGGCCTTTTAATTCCATCCTTTAACACAGTAGATATACATTATATCCTTTTAAACATCTTAGATTCACTTAATTGAAGAATAATTTTCTATAAGGTTGACTAAAATTCTTATAATCAATAAGTAACATAAAATTCTGAAATACAAGCCTCTAAGCCTATGTAAGTTTCTATTAATAAAATAAAATGCAATGCAACCCGAATTAAATGATTTCTTTTAGCTTTTTGAAACCCTTTAAAGATCTTGCTGCAATTATTTGTGCTTCTTCATTTTGTTCCATTATTTCACTTCTTATTTTTTGATATGCTTTTTTATTATTTATTTTAAATATTTATTTGTTGCTAAATAATAGATTATTTTTATATTTTCATATTTTTTAAATAATCTAATTCACTAACTTAATTTCATATATATTAATTTATAAAATAATAAATATTAAGAAAGGTACAATTAATCAAAATCAAGAAATACCAATTTGTGTAGATTTTTTTATATCAAATAGATGGAATAAAAATTACAGCTAAATTTTAACATTATCTGTCATCTTTCTTTACAAAATATAAATATTCAAATTTAAATTTAAACATATTCTACTCTTACTCACTCTAAAGTTATCATAATTTATTTTCATAACTTAAATTATATAAATATTTAAAATAACAAGTATTATTTATAAATGAATTAAGAGGATGATGAAAAATTTGTAATAAAAGCCTTAAATATTTAGTTTATTGACACTGTTCAAACGTAATAAATTGAAATTGAGAGTTTAAAAAAATAAATACGATTACAAGAATTTCAGTCCAAATAACAACATTTAGAAGTAAACTCTTAAGACTATCAAAGTTAATCAATTCCTTTGGCTAATTAAAGAAAAGAAATGAAGAATTAGATTTAGAATTGAACAAGCAAATTCAATCAAGTCATGAAACTAAATTATAGTAATTTGCCTTATAGATGTAAGAGTAATTAGCAAGGGCTGAAGAATAAATACTCATTTATTAAGAAAATGAGGTAATTATTATCATAAACTACTTTTAGATGAAATTACTAAAAGAAATTTAATAACTTTAAGCAAAATTGGAATCTGATAAGATTACCGATTTGAAACAATAATTAATAAAAATGGAAGAAACTGCAATTTCTATAATTGTTGAGAAAGAATTTATAATATCTGAATAAGCCAAAGAAATTGAGTTATTGAAATAAAATGAAAAATTAAATAGTTCATCAACTGAGAACAATGCTTAAAATAAAATTTTTGATTTTTAAGAATTAGAAAACAAAATTTATGAATACTAATAAAAATTAGAACATTAATAATGTCTTCATGAAGAACAATTATCAAATCTTGAGAGAACAATTACAAATCGTATATTCGAATCTCTAGAATTTGAAATGAATTAAAAGAAATTAGTAGAATAAGATTTGTTGCATCAGATTAGCATTTTAGAAGAAAAAAACAAGTATTATGAAAAACTATTAAATGAGCAAGAAAAAAAACTGAATTCCTTAAAAGAAGAAAAAAACTTAGAACAATCGTACAATGATAAAAAGTATTAAGAAATTAGTGAACGATTAAGATTTTCATTATAGTAACTTATAAAAAGTGATAAAAAATGTGAAGATGCATATAAATAATTTTCACAACTACAAAGAGAAAAATAAAATATGACAAAACAGAAAGAAGAACTAATTCGAAAATAAGTTTATTTGGAAAATCAGAATAGAAAGCATACATAAGCAATTTAAGAATACAAAGAATTAACTGAAACCTTATAATAATAAATTAATGAACAAGACTAATTAATTTAAGAATAAAATGAACAATTGTAAAAACTGGCTATACATTATGAATAATAACTAAAAATTGCTATTTAATCGAATCCATAAAAGTTTGAATCATGTGATCATGAAATAGTACCAAACTAAAACCTTTTACTAAGTGATCTACTTAAGGATAGTCAGATAAGTTAACAATCTGAAAATACTCATATTGATTCACCTACTCATTCTATTTCTTAAACACATACATCTCATTTATCAGATTCTTATTGTTCTTTCTAAACTAAAAATAGTTCTAGAAGAAGAATAGGAGCTAATTGTAAGTATGAAAATATTAAAGATGCTTTGCTTGATGCCAAACATACTATTAAGTAAATATTTTTTATATTTTCAGAATTTAAAATTTAGAAATTTCAAATCTAGAATAAACAATTGAGATTTTGTAGAAAGAATTAAAATCTCAGCTATTAGAAATACATAATCTCAGAAAAACTAAATTAGATTTTAAATAAGATAAAGATTATAAATTAGAAATAGAAAAATTGAAATAGTGTTTAAATACAATGGAAACACATTATTTAACTACTAAATTGAGTTTAGCAGAAGAAATTAATTTCTTAAGAGATGAACTTAAACGAGCAGAATCAGAAGCTCTCAGATCAAAATTGTAGTTAACTTAATTAAATGCATAATTCTGCATTATTCAATAAAATTATTAGAAATTAGATAAATAACATTAATAAAGTGTGACTAGTAGATAAACTTCAAATATAGATGAGAAAAGTCCTGTTAAGAGTAGGAAGAGTTTATTTTCTATTTTTGGCTGAGTGAGTTAAAAAAACCAATTAATTATTGATTATTTAAATATGTAACTTAAAATATCTGTAAATTTTGTTGAGCAAAATTTAAATCATCTCCTTATTAAATAACTTCATTATCTACATGACTTTTTGGAATAAAAATGTTCTAAGAGAAATATTATAATGTTAATTAATTGTTAAGTATTTTAATTAAAAGATATTTAAGTAATGAAAAACTTTACTATTTTTTTTATTCAAAATACTTTTAGATTATATTTGCTTTTAACTATAATTTCTAAATTTAAATAAATTTATATAACAAAATATCTTGTAATAATATTTTCTTGAATTGGAATTAAAAAGAACTTAAATATTAAGGCATATGAATGTTCTCCTATCCATACTTGATATGAGCTTTTATTTGATTTCAGCTTGATTTACAATTGATGCTTACCAGGTATATTTAATATCAATATCAACTATTAAACTATATTAATTAATTTGATCTTAAAAGAATTGAAGTTTTTCAAGTTTAGTTAAATAAAATAGTAAGCTGATTATAAAGATTTGTAAGATTAAATATATTATTCATTGTATTCATATATTGGTGGTTTTATGTTTGATGTTAGATTATGCGTTTGATTTAATGTGGCAATTGTTAAGAGGATTTGAATACGTAATAAAAAGAAAAGGATAAAATTTATTAATAATAAATGTTCTAAATTATAATTTTTGCAATTGATTCATTTGAATCCAGATCTTAATCCTGATCCTAATTAGCTTGATCTAAGATTTCCTAATTCAGTTTATTAAACAAGTGGAACTTCATCGACTTGATTAGCGAATACGATGGCTTCACCCAAGCCTAAAATAAATATGATAATTTACATTAGGCTTTATCAATACCAGCATTTTCAGTTTCAGCATCAATTCTTAAGATACCAAAACCTTTTAAGGCTAAGAGTATAATTAATGTAAAGAAGGTAACCCAAGCAAAGATGATCAATAATCCTAACAATTGTTTGCCTAATAATTTAGCACCAAATCCATAAAATGCTCCAGCTTTAGTATCAAATAATGCTGATAAAAAAATACCAACAAATCCTGAACCCTAATTTAAAATATAATAATATATAATTACAAAATAAACTGGTACAACTTCAACTGGATCATCAATATGTGCAGCAGGCATAACTTTAGCTAAGAAACTATAAATTAAAGCAGCAATAGCACCATAAAGGAATGCTGTCCATGGTTTCATATCATCAGCAGCTGCACTGACAGCTACTAAACCACAAACAACTCCTCTAGATAAAGCAGCTAAATTTGAAGTTCCATATTAGATATGTCTAATTACATAACTAAAGAATCCACCTGTTGCTCCAGCAATCAATGTGTTAACAGCTACCAAACCTTAAGTATATTGTGATTTAGCTCCTTAACTTACTATTCCTCCATTGAAAAATAGCCAGCCAGCAAATACCAATAATGATCCAAATCCTATGTATAAAGGAGAATGTCTGTTAAAATCAAGTGTAGTTCCATTATCAAATCTAGCTTTTCTAGGTTTCAATAACACAGTCATTATTAATCCTGCTACTCCTGCAGCATAAAAAACAACACCTGCACCTGAAAAATCTTTATATCCAAGAGTACTCAACCTAAATTATTTTAAAATTCAAATTACCATCCTGCTGCTAATGTCCAATGTGTTAATCCTGCATAAATAAAACCAGAGTATAGGATAGTAAAGATTGACCAACCTAAAAATGTCATTCTTTCAGCTGCTGCTCCTGCTAATATAGCTGTTCCTACTGCTGCTCCTGATGCTCTGAAAACTAAAATTCAAATAAATTATATATTTTACCAAAGTTTGTATAATCATTACCATAAGCTGTTACTTCCCATTTAGCTCCACCTAATTTTGTTCCTCCCATAAATTTAGTTTAGAAATCATCACCAAATGAAAAACCATATCCAAACTAAATTTTATTTATTTTATTTATTACCAACCACCAGATTAACACTGTTAAAAATAATCCTAAGAAGACTTTGATTACTACTGATTATGAATTCTTATATCTCACTGATCCTGCTCCTATAAAGGCAAATCCAACTTATGTTAATATTACTATAAATCCAGAGACCAAAACCCAATCATAATCTACAGTTTATGGGGTGGGTATATTTTGTATAGGAAGAGCAGCAGCTATTTTATTATTATTATTAATACCTGCTCCTTCATTATGTCTTAAATGAGAACTCATATCTTCCGTTATTTAAAATAATATTTCAAATAAATTTATTTACCTTCTATTTATATTGTCAATAGTAATTATATCATACATTCTAATATAATATCAACCCCATTAAATTATTCACATATCATACTCAAAAAATATCAATAGATTTGCATTCTTTTCACAAAATTCATTATATATCACATGCATTTTCACCTTCATTTCATATATGTATTCAAAAATACTCAAGATTTAAATTTAATATAGACACCATTAATTTTAATTTTTTAAGGTCAAATTTAATTTTTAAGTATCTCTCACTATCATACATTATTATTAAAATACTTTATTTATCTAGATATTTTAGGCTTAATCGATAATCGTACACTTCCAATAATTATCATATATATCGTTACTTAAACCATTTTTATTAAAGGGAAAACTCAAAGACAATGTAATTATTCTAAAACTACATTTATTTTGGTTAATATAGAAACACTGTTCATATCAGTCAACTTAATTTTGAAGGGATAAAATTATTTGGAAATAATGCATATAAAACATTTTAGAGCATCGTACTTTAATTAAAGTTAAAAGATTTACTTCATGGAATTATAAGATTTTCAAGAAGTTATAAATATTTTCACAAATGGATGATCTAATTTATTAGATTTTTTATGATTATTTTTTAAATGAATTGTTAAATTTATTTATTGAATTCATGAAAATTTTATCAAAACATAATATAATTATAAAAACCTTGATATTAAAATATTTAATTTAATGCCTTTAGTTTAACATTACATGCTAAGAAAGTCTATTACTTTAATTAAAAACGCAAACATTTAAATGACTTAATAAGAGATGGATAAACAATAATTATATTGAAATTGAAAGATAGTTCCATTTCAATATAGTAAGAAAGCTTGAAATCATGTATAAAAAATTAAATATTTCTTAACCAACCTAAGATTCAACAATAAATATAAAAATAAAGCTCGTAAGTTACAAAGAATATAAGTCTAAGTTATCATAAAAATAGCAAAATATAGAATAAAAGGATAGTGAAATGATTGAAATTGATATGGATCTTGGCTAGGTTGAAAATGGAATTCAATAGCTATAAATCTAATAAAAAATTATCAATTTAAAGTACTTCTATCAAATTTAAGTTAAGTAGATAGAGCAGCATTTGATAAAGATGATAAAATCATAAAATCTTTTGAATAAAAATAAATTAGGTAAAAAACAGTGATATACTCAGCATAAAGATGTAGGAGATATATTTCCTAATGAATTTATAATTAAATTCAAGTTGAAAGATCAAAAAATAAAAATAGAAAACTTTTAAGTTTAATATAACTGTTGCTTAAAGAAATGGTGAACAGTAATGGGTAATATCATTTCTTTAAGGAAAATAATTTCGATCTAATTTAGAAGTATTGAAAAAAAATAAAAAGTAAAACTTAATGTTTAAAAATTATAAGATCTATTTATAATTTAGGTTTATATCTAAGAGACCAATGAATTTTATTTAAAGTTTTCAAAAAAATAGGATAGAGCCTATGAATTAATTACAAAAGAAAATTTAATTGATAATTTATAAGAGAGTAAATCATTATAAAAAGATAGAGGGGATAAATCATTATGGTAGAGAAACATAAGTAAATGGAAGATAATCAAAAATCAATAAGAATTGGAATTTTGAAAATGAAAAATAATACATAAAATGCAAATGTCCAAATATCTTGAACTAAAAGGAAACATAAAATTACTTTTAAAAAATAGATCCTGTTGAAAACTTAAATCACTCTTAAGAAATCATACAATTAATTATGATAAATCTATTTTGAGATAATAAAGAAAATTGGAAATTTATAAATAATATTTTTGAGTAAATAATATTTTTATTATATGATAATTCATTCTTTTGGATGATATTGATGATAATAATAAGGATAAGCTAAATTAAAGTTTCCATATTGTTAGTTGTTATGATAGCACTAAAAGAATTAGTTGAAAGCGTAGTTGTACATATTACAGTATAAAGGATTAGAAAGTTGATTGAGGATCTACATAAAAATTATATTACTTCAGGATGTTAGAATTAATTATTCAAAAGATTGGGATCTACACTAAGCTAACAGCTCTTATTTCTAAAGAATAATTATTAAATTTACTTATCTTTTTAAATTACCTTTTTTTCTTATTGACCTTATAGATTATTTTCTTAGTCTTTCTCTTCCTTTACTTATTCTTCTTTATTAACCTAGATGTTTTTAGATTGCTTATCTAGATTTCTTTTATTTTTTTAAGATATTTAACAGATCTGCTTTTGAATTGGTTATATGCTATCAGTATTAATTTGAATTAAAGGGTTATTAAGGCATTCATCTTGAAATGCAATTGAGTCTGCATTTTTCTAAGCTTATTTCATTATACTCTTTTGACTCTTGGAAGTATTTGCCTTTTCATTTTATTATTTTCCTTCAGAATGATCTATGAAATGTTAGTATTTCCTTTTGTATTCTCTTGTTAAATAGTAGATATCTGTTATTTCAACAGCATCTTCAGGGATGCTAGCTCTTTGAGTGCAAATTTCATAGTAATTATTTTCCAATTATTTAATTATATCTAAAGCCTATAATTAATATAATAATTTACTTTCTTTAATGTATTTTAATTAGAATTTTCAACTTTTACTAAAAGTTTCATCTCTTTTGACTGGCTCATTTGTTATTTCACTTAATTTAAGTGGGACAACACTTACATTAATACACTCTCTGATTTTTTTATAAAATTAGAGTTAAAGAATAAGCGGACACATTTAGGAAACTTCATCACCATAAATAGAGGATGTCTAATCTTATTTCTTATGTTAGCAGATGTATAATAATTAATGAAACCTTGAAGTGATTTATCAATCTAATTAAATTTTTAGTTTTATTTGTCATTTTCTCTTTTATAATATATTTAATCAATTATTGATGGTGGAAATAGATCTAAAAACATTTCTTAAGAAATGTCTCTATTATTGTGACCAGTTCTATTTCTTGAATCAACAAAAACATCAGATGATATTTATGAATCTAAAATCAAGACTTCTTCTTTTCTGGAATAAGATAATACAAATATGAAGTTGAACTTAGAGTACTTAAAATTAATTTTTCTTTATTACTTTGTTATTGTAGGATGTAGTTCCAAATTTCAACCCACTAAATGTTATAGAAGGTTCAAATAATGCTAACTTTGTATTTCCTCTTAATCCTAGACTTATGTATTAGTTTGCAATCAATCCCTTTTTGATTACAAACATCTACACTTCTAGAATGCCATCTTTGAAGTCTTTAATGGTAGTATCATTGTTTTTAAACTTAATAGATGATTAATCAGTACATTTATTGTGTAATTAATCTCTGGTAAGTTCCATGATTTATGCCAATTCCATCCAAGCTCAGGATCAGACATGAAATCTTTCTATTAAGAAATGGAGACTGTAAATAAATCTTTTGGCCATTTAGAATCTTCAGATTTCAGTTCCCATATTACTTTATTTGATTTTTGATCAACTAAAATCCCAGTGACTGGCAAGTATTTCCACTCTAAAGAGGCTTCTGCTGTCATTAATTGAACTTATAAATATATATTTATTATCGATTAATCTATAAAGTATATAAACCATCTTATATGACACTATTCCCAACATAAATATGATGAAATTTAAAAAAAAATATTTAATAAATTAATTTTAGAAGATATATTTGAAATATAATGTGCTATATGTATTAATTATAGTTTAAATTTTATTTAGCATATTTGATTTGGAATCATTGAGAGTGTATTGATATTAAGAGCGTTAAATTAAAGTATTTGTCTATAGATAATTGGTTAATAAGTAATGATTCTTATTTTAGGTATCACTCTTATTGATTTGTAACGTTCAAACCGAAGTAATACTTTCGATGACAATCAAATATATTATTTAATTCAATTCAAACCTTATCTATGTTCTAATTTAATTATAATGAAATAATATATATATTTAATATAGGTAACTTTGAAATATTAAATTATTTTGAAAATAATATGAATTACATTAACAATCAATATCAACTAATAAAGAAATTATCAGCGGGTAGTTATGGAATAGTGTATGAAGGTGAGAACATTCCGAATAAAACTACTGTAGCTATAAAAATAGAGAAAAAGGATAAACCTTAAACTTTAGAAAGGGAAGTGTTGGCCTTATCTAGATTGCAATAAATTACAGGAATTCCTTAAGTATATTGGAATGGATCTCATAATGGACAAAACATTGTAGTTATGCAATTGTTATCAAAAGATCTTGGATATTATTTAAAGGAACATCGAAAATTCAGTCTAAAAACTGTGTTAATGATTGCAGATTAATTAATATAAATTTTAAGGAATATTCATTCAAAATCAATTTTACATAGAGATTTAAAACCAGAAAACTTGATGTATCACTAAAGATAAATTTACATAGTAGATTTTGGTATTAGCAAGATATATAGAGATAGTAATTTAAAGCATATGTAAAAATATCATAAAGATAAATAAATAGACCATTTAGAGATGGAAGACCTTTTGTAGGAACTACTAGATATGCTCCTATTGCTGCTCATAAAGGTCATGAATTAAGTAGAAAAGATGATCTTGAAACTTTAATATACATTCTAGTTTTATTTCTAAAAGGGTATAAAGTAATTGTTAATATAGATTAAAGAGTTCTGCCATGGCAAAATTAGATTTCTTAAAATAATAAAGAGAGATAAAAATTAATTGGTGAAAAAAAGACTAAATTAAGTTCTACTGAAATTTGTTAGGATTTACCTATCGAATTCTAAAAAGCTTTAGAGTAATATTATTTAAATTATTAAATAAGTCATATTAAAAGTCTAGGTTTCTCAGTCGAACCTGATTATGATTATTTAATAAATTTGTTTAGGAAATTAGGTTAAAGACATGGATATGATTATGATAATTTATTTGATTGGTGCAAAGAGGAAGAAATAATTGCTTAAACTAAGATTATGCAATAAAGTGAGAAGATGTAACCTCTCTCACTTAAATGGTATTTATTAATTCATTACTAAATTAGTTAATCTTTATAAATCCCTTCCACTTTAGAATGTTTAGATAAAAAACAATCATCTGTTACTAATATTTTATAAAATCCTATGTAAATTTCTTAAAGTGCTGTTATCATGGAGATTAATTCAGAAGCTAGTCTTTCTGATGATAGTACTAACTACCTCTATAATAATTATTAGTAATTAGAAAACTTTTCAAACAAGTATAAAAACCATCTCTTGATTATGAAATAAAAATGAACTCTTGATTTATAAATCATATTCTTATTCAATAAATTTTTGAAAATCTACACTTTAATCATAAATTTTAGGTTTTCTCTATTTCTAATTTTCATACTTACTTACTATAATAGGTTTCTAAAAATACTTTAAATATTCATCAATTTATTTATGAAAACTTTAGTTAATAAACTACAATAATCAGCTAGATTTATTTGGCAATCCATAAAAAAACAAATATTAATTTCAAATTACTAATGTCTGAGCAAATTAACTACTCAAAAGTTATAGAGTTTTTCTGGTTTTTCTTTCCCTTTTTACTATTCATATGTGCTGTTCTACTGAAATTTTACATAAAAACTAGCATTCATGTTGATTAAGGATAAAATAGATCAAAATCATATAGTCAATAAAATTTGAATGATTAAAAACACAATGAACCGTAAAAACATGATAATGATGGATTTTAAGGTCCTGGTATGATATAATCACTTATTATATTTAGAAATACAAATTGTTGGAAATGTCTAACAAAATCAATAGATGGATATAGTATATGAAGGAAAATAAATGTAATAGGCATAATCAATGTAGTAAGTACCTTAATTATCAACCATTTCTCCAAATCTTACATAAAATGTATATCTTTATTTTTATTATTCAAATTTAGACAAGAACAGCAAAATTATTTAATGGATTAAATGAAATGATTTCAACTTATTTTCCTCTACTCTCAGTATCTATCTTATGTATTAATAATTTTGCTGTATGGGGTTGGGCATTGTCATGTGTTCTTATATATTTAGTTTTTGTTATTGCTTTCAATATCTGTGAAGTCTAGCGCAACTTTTCAGATACAATTAAAAGTAAATGTTTATATTATTTATTTAGAATTTTTGTATATAAGTCATCACATTTGGTTAGGTGGTATATTTATTAGCTATTTAGCCTGCAAATTGAAATTGTCAAATTGAAAAAATAATTAATTTATGTCATCATTTTGTTAAATATAAATTATTCATATTATTGATTTATTTTTATGTAATATTAGATAATTATTGTATGTGATGAAGTTAATAATTATTAATATCTTATTAATTTCTTCATTATTTTAAATTTTTATTTTCTAATATTGAATTAGATTAAAAATAATAAAATGCCTTACCTAATAGAGAATTTTAAAGAATTTATATAAAATATATTTTCTTAGTAATTTACGTTTCATAGGTTTTTTTGCTTCTAACTGTTGATAATCTTTCACTTTCTATTTTTATGCAATCTAATAATTATTATCATCTTTTAGATTAAGCATTATTGATGGGTGCCTAGATTTGTCCAAATGCTCAACACAAATCTCATGATGAAATTACTGTGTAAAAGAAACCTAAAATTGATATATAAAAGCCCCCTTAAATTCATAAGCTAGAACCTATAATTTAATTGAGTTTTCATGAAGAAATTATGGAAATTCAAAGAGAAAGATAATATTCAATTCCTAAACAGACAACATAAGATTATAGTACATCTAAATTGGAAATAAATGAAAACAAGATTGAATAACTTGAATAATTTGAAAAAAGTCAATTATGTTCCTAAAATGACTAAAAAGATTAATAAAATGATTCACGAGATGATTCAAATAGTGCATTGCTTGAATGTATAATTATATGAACATAATATAGTTAAATTTAAACCGATACTTAAAAACGTAATTGCTCAAAAGAATTGTTAAAATGATGGAGAATCACAAAAATCTGTCAAAAAGGTCACATTTAATAAGAAATAGAAAGTGATTTATAGTGGTTTCAGACAATAAAATTAATGAGGATATACTAACTTAAATTACTTTAAAATCTTTTTGACTGGTTTATATATTTTCATATCTTTTTCAACTGAATTAATCTTAAAATTCTATATAAGAGGGTTTAAATTTTCTTTGACTGTATTAATTATCCTTTTGATTATCCTTAATGAAATTGCTCATAAAAATTATAAATAAATTACTCAATTTACAAACTTTAATTTATTATTTCAAAGTTAGTTTCGTTAACATAAATCAATGATTTATGAAAGTTTTGCTGTAGAATAGATCGATCTTTAGAAGAGAAAAATAAACGAATAGAATAATCTTAACTAATAATAATATATTTATAATAAAATGATATTTTTCAAATAATATAATGATCATATCAATAATGAAAAAAAGATTAATTACAAATAAGAGCATCAAATTAAAAATTTGATAAGACCAGAATAGATAGGATTTTGATATTGTTAAAATTATGAAATAAAAACAATCAATAGTGAGTATTATTTTGATTAATAAGTAATATTTAGTAATTAATATATAATATTTAAGAAAGTTAGGTATGATAAAAGAATACTAACCTAAAATATTTTCAAAGGATTAATTTAGATTGAGATATAAAGATTTAGAGGAAATATACAATGAAGAAATGTCTCCAACTTAAATTGAATTAGGTTATGATAATGAATTGCAACAAGTATTAGAAAAGATAATAAATAGACAGTAGTAGTGAAGCACATAGTGAAAGAACAATTATTCAATGATATATAAAGGAAATAAGCTTAGATGGAATGTAAAGTACATTCTGAAATAAAGAATGATCACTTAGTGGAATTATTTGATTGCTTTTAAAATGATGAAGAATATACATTAATATTGGAATATATGAATAATGCTAATTATTTTAGAGATAAGATAGAAACAGTAATAAAATTGAAATAATAATGTAAAGGAACTAAAGATAATATCAACAGAAGCAAAAATGAAGTCTTACATGTCTGATGTATTAGAGGGATTAGACTACCTGCATAAGCAAGGTATTCTACCGATTCTTGGCTAGGATATATTCATTGTGACATTAAATTAGAGAATCTGTTCTGTGAGAAATTGGAGGATTAAGTTTTTAGAAATGTATTCATTTTATTTAATTAGGTAAAATTAGGAGATTTAGGATTGGTGCATACATATGATATAAATACAGGACAAGGTTTGATGCCAGTTAAATGTGGAACAGCTAGTTACATAGCACCAGAAATAACTAATAATGCTATAGTGACTCCTAAAATTGATATATGGTCTCTTGGAATAATATTATATACTATGAGTTGTGGTTATAAGCCTACTTAAATTCAAGGGTCGTTCAATTTATTATTATTTATCTAGATACAAGTATTCATAAGGTCCAATACCCTTTAGAAAGTTTGATTGGAAAAAGAGATCAAAAGAGTTATAAAATATTATAACTTTAATGCTTGATATGGATCCTAATAAAAGACCATCTTGTCAAGACTTAATGTAACATGCATGGTTTGAAATCGATTCTTGATATTAAAGGTTTTTTATATAAACAATTTTTTTCTTTTCAATATTCAGATTTATTTTATTTATCTTTGATCTGGTTCCCAAAATTCACTGAAATTAAATCCAAACACTTTATAAAAAAATCCTCTATCTTTTCTTTTAAAACTATCAAAAGAAGGTAATCCAGAAACCTTATTTATTTTTTATAAATATTCTTTTATACCTTTGCATCTATTAAATCTTTCTTATCACCTTCATAACGGTGTTATAATAATTTAGTATAATCATCAAATACTTTCTCACAATTCTTTTTACATGTTTCACCATCTACTAACTTCTCGCATGGTTCTAGACACTTTTTATATTCTACAGTTTTATAATTATTTTTTTATATACTCTCTGATAATTCAAAATACACTTTCATTCTTTCCTATTATTCAGATGAATAAACATGATAAACTTCACTTCTTAGAATCACTTTTTCTTTTATCATTTATTTTATTAAATATAATTTAAATTAAAATTTTCAAATTTACCATTCTCAAGAATATTATAATTTTTGTTTAATATAATAGAAAAAAACATATAGTAGAATAAATCATCCGTATTAATTTATTATATTTCCATCACTTAATGATAATAAAAATAATCTTAAAAAATAATAACAAAAATGACTCAAACTATCAATGCAGATTTGTTGTTAAGAATGAGTACTCTTAATTAAGAGTTTCATTTATTAGCTACTAATACTAATTTATTTATGAAAACGATTAGGGATGAATTGATAAAATAACAATTAGATAATTAAAGTAGTAGATAAATCTGTGATCATAATACTTAAGTATGAATTCATTTAAAATAGAGTGTTAGTGAATTGAAGTGGCATTTAGATGAATAGGTGGGTATTCTCTATAAAAAATATGAAAAATAAGTTAATGATAAAATAAGAGAATTCGAAAGCATTTAAAAATAAAAAGAAATTTCAGAATAAAATAGAATTAAAGAATTAGAATAAAGATTTAATCAATATGATGATATAATTAAAGAAATAGATAAAAAATGGGAATCTAAATCTAATGATCGTTACATTGCAAGCATTATTCAAAAGAACTTATTAACAAATCAAAATATAGGGTAATTTATAGTTGATAAAGTATTGAAATTAACAGAAGAGACTGTTTAAAATAAAATAAATGAATTTTAAAAGTTGGTTGATGATAGAATCACAAATTAATTTCATTAGATATCTAACTTACAAAATCTAATTAGAAAATTTGAATCCAAATATCAAGAATTACAAAATAAATTGAAAATACAAAAGGATTTTTAGATGGATTTTCAAGAATCTTAATCAAAAAAACTATAGGTTTTGTAGCATCAAAATTCTTTATTTAAAGAAGTAGTTTAATAATAAGTTCATAAGTAATGATTCATAATACTAATTAGTATAATAGAATAATCAGAATTATGTAAAACAAATATTAAAGATCTAAAAGAACAAATGATTAAGCAATTTGAAGATGCTTCTGTTGGAAAACTTGAAAATAATGACTAATTAATGTAGATTATGATTTAGGATTAACATAAAATAAGGGAACTTGAAAGAAAATAGGATTTGATATTTAAAAATGAGAATGAAATTAAATTAAAATTAGAGTAAATGCAATAGGATTATAGTCAATAAAATTAGAGAGCATTAAATTAAATTGTTACAATGGATAGTGAAATGAAAAATATTAGCTTTGCAATTAATGGAATCTTTGAGAAAATGGGTACTATTACTTTAAATCCTTAAACAATGTAAGAACCAAAATAATTTGAAAAACCATAAGAAAAATTTAAACCATTATTGGTAAGTCAAAAAATTTAAAAATAATTCTGTTTAAAAGATTAAATCGGATAAATTGAAATTTTATTTCGACATGTTTAGTTACTATTCAGTCATATATGTAAATCATATAGATATGAACAAAAAATGGAATTGAATAAGTAAAAATTGAAATCAGATTTAACTAGAAACAATTCGAATGAATAAGTTCCATCAGATATCGATCATCCTTAATATGTCTTTTAACAATATTTGTTATAATAAAAATAAGAATAATTATAAAAGCCTGAATTGTAAAAAGGTGAATAGCCTTATTAACAATAGATTTCCAACCCTTAAAATTAATTAAAGATTAATATTCAACCTCCATAATAGGGGAATGAAGATTATTTTGGAGATTCTAAATTATATTTTAATACAACCATGAGACCTCTTTATATTCAAGGGAAATGTAAAAATTTAAATTAATTATAGAACATGCAATGGATATTCGACCTTAAATTGAAATGTAATAATTATCAGCAAAGGTGAAATAAGTGGCAAATTTATTCTGTGATACAGATTTAAGACAATAATTAATTGAAAATAGCTAAAGTTTTCGACCAGGATCAGGAAAGAAAAAATTACCAAAAATTAATTCAAAAAGTTTTAATTTTTCAAATGATGATTGATGATAATTAGAAATTTTTGTTTATTGATACTAATTTATTTTATCATTTCTTAGCTCCTTAATTAGCAACAGCTTCCATTTTTTTTCTTATTTCTTCTTAATCTCCTAAATAATACGAACCTAAAGACTTTAAATTATGATCAAATTCATAAACTAATGGGACACTAGTTGGAATATTTAGTTCAAGAATATCTAAAATTTATTAAAGATTGTCATACCTTTTTCAGAAACATTATCTAAATACTTAACAATACTTCTCAATGAATTACCATGAGCAACAACTAAAACATTTTTTCCAGCCAGAATATCTTTAGCTATATGATCATGCCAGAAAGGAATAACTCTAACAACAGTATCTTTAAGACATTCAGTGAGTGGTAAAGCATCTTTAGGAACATCTGCGTATCTTCTATCATTGGCTGGATTTCTAGGATCAGTTGGATCTAAAGGAGGAGGTGGAATGTCATATGATCTTCTCCAAATTTTGACTTGATCTTCACCATGTTTTTAAGCTGTTTCACTCTTATTTAAACCTTAAAGGGCTCCATAATGTCTTTCATTAAGTCTCCAACTTTTAATGACTGGTAAATAGTGACATTCCATTTCCTCAGCTGCATAATTATAAGTTTATATAGCTCTAGTCAATACTGATGTGTAGACTTAATGGAATATATATCCTTCCTTCTTTAACAATTATCCAGCTGCTTTAGCTTCTTCAACTCCTTTTTATGATAGAGTGACATCATGCCATCCTGTAAATCTATTCTCTTTATTCCATTAAGATTCTCCATGTCTTAAAAATACTACTCTATATTTTGCTGAAGCGTTCTTGAACATTGTTTGCATTTTTAATTAATTTATTTATTGTACACAAATATATTATATTGATAATAAGATATTCAAGCTAATTTCCCTTCTGACAAAGCTCTTTTATAATCATCGAAATCTCCATTAAATTTCTTAAGTCTCTCTTCTTTTATGTACCAAATCTGATCACATACAGTTGAAACAAAATATTAATCATGTGAAACTATTACTAAACCACCCTTGATTATATTATTTAAATTTATACAGTGAAATTGTTTAAAGCAATAATTAATGCATTAACTGCATCGATATCAAGATGGTTTGTAGGTTCATCCATTATTAAAATTTATGGATTATTCCAAACTGCCATTGCAAAAGAGATTCTACTCTTTTATCCTCCTGATAATAGATATTGAGGTCTTAATTATAAGTTCCCATTTAAACCAAAAGATGATAAATGAGATCTATATGTCTCTCCTGAAGCTCCAGGGAATGTAAACATTAATTATTCTAAAGGACTCTTCATAAGATCTAATTGTTCAATGTGATGTTATGTAAACATGCTGATTCTTAATCTAGGATTTCTGAAGTAATTTCCTTCTGTTAATCTTCTTTATTCAGTTAGCAAATTTAACAATGTTGATTTACCAACACCATTGGCTCCAACAATAGCTACACGAGATTCCATTTCAACTGCAAAATTAAGTCCTTTAAGAATTGGTTTTCCTAATTGATATTCGAAATATCCTTCTTCAATTCTCAACATAGGGGGTCTTAATTTTTCAGGATTTGGGAATATGAATACGCAACTTGGATCTTCTAAGACTTCATCAATTAAATCCATTTTTTAAATAGCTTTAATACGTGATTGTACTAAAGATGCTCTTTTGGCATTATATCTAAATTTATCAATAAAAGATTGCATATGTGACAATTTCTTTTATTAAGCATCAAACTATTTCTTTTAATTAGTATTTTTTTCAGCTCTTCCTTTTTCAAATTAATCATAGTTTCCTGTATAAGATGTTAATTTTTAATCATAGAAATGTATAACTTAATTACAAACAACATTTAAAAATTCTCTTGCATGTGATACAACAATAACAGTATGTTTACAATTAATAACATAATCTTCTAACCACATAACAGCATCTAAATCAAGATGATTGGTTGGTTCATCCAATAATAATACATCAGGTTATACAAATAAAGCTCTTGCCAATGAAACTCTCATTCTCCAACCTCCTGATAAATGTTTAGTTTTTCTATTCATTAAATCATTTGTAAATCCTAAACCTTACAATATTTTAATTGCTTTTTATTCTGCTAAATGTGCTTCGATTAATTCTAATCGTTCATAAATTGCTTATAATTTTTCTCCCGCATTTGCATCTTCTGCATTTTCTAACTTTTCTTTTTGTTCCAATAATTCTAATCTTTCCATATCTGTTTCCAATACTAATTAAACTGGAGTCTTATCTGATTCTGAAATTTCTTATTCTACCAACAACACTTATATATGTCTGAATTTATCTGCATTTTCATATTCATATCTAGCTAATGCATTCATTAAACTATTTATTAATGATATTTAAATTACCATGTTTTACCAATACCATTTCTACCTACTAAACCATACTTTTAACCATATATCAATTATAATGATGTGTCTTCCAATAATGCTCTTCCTCCAACTATTATTGATAACTTATCTATCACTATATCTAATTTCTTTCCATCTTAATCTGCTTTACTATGTCTTACTCTTGCAGGAGGAATGTGTGTTTTCTATTCTTTTATTGTTTTTATATGCTTCTCGTATGCTTCTTTTGCTTTTATATCCTCCTTCTATCTAAGTTTCTCTTTACGATCTTTCTTCTATATTTACTCATTTGTATTTGTTGCTACTTATTCTTTAAATAAATCTTCAAACTTTATTGTTTCCTAAAATCATCATATTCCAAATCTTACAGACTCTTTTTCCAAATAAAAATCTAATTCAGAAAGAACTACTTCTTCTGGCAATCTTTCTGCTGCTAATGTATGTTTCTTTTCTTTTCTTATTAATTGTTCCTTTCCTAATGCATCAAATATTTTTTAACAAATTTTATTAATTTCTTATGTGGTCATTTTTCCTCCGTTTCTAAAATACTCCCCCAATAACTCTTAAACATCAGCAGCATTCTAAGGTGTATCTTCAACTAACATTCCTGACATATGATTAACACATTGTTATGTTAATCGACAAACTCCAGGTATTTGTTCCAATAATAATTCACATATTTTACCTTACATTTTTAATATGTTAATTATAATTTATATTATTCAATATTACTCTAAACATTCTTTTGATTTCATTACTTTTCTCTTTTATGATATTATTTAAAACAACCTTTCATTAAACCCAAATCTCATCTTAAAGTAAAATTATTTTACAAATACGATAACCAATTATTTTTATTATCCTTATTATTTATATCTATTAAATTTTTTAATTATGTCATTTATAAAATTTTAAAACTTTTAGAATCTCTTTTCTAACTCAATAATTAGGATTAATTATGAATTATCTTAAGACTCAGACATACAACTAAAAATGTTTAAATATATACTTCAATCAAATAAATAACATAAACTAACCAATCACTATAAAATGAGATTTAAATTATGATAAAAGCATTAAAAGCAATAATTTTCCATTTTGAGTCTCAGATTAAACAAAAATTTTGTTACCAGAATAATTACTCATAAAAATTAATTTTTTTCATAATAAAAATCATTTATTCAATGAGATTTTCTAATCTACATAGAATATTTAATAAAGAAAAAACTTATTGATTTACAGATTTAAGATGATCACTCTATTTTTGTGTTTTTGCAAACTAGATTCGCCTTATATAAGAATTGAGAGTTGATTCACGATTGTCTTTAAATTAATTTCTAGAAAATTAATTTGAATTCCAGATTAAATATTATTTCTCATGAAATAAAGAGTTGGTGAGCAATTAAGTATGAATATTGTTTAATTTTTGAGCTAATTGACGATTAGCTATTGAGATTGATATTCAAAAATTATTCTAATGAAAGACATGATGTTTGAATAAGAGAAAATTGTTTGTTAAATAACTTCAACAGACATTTCTAAAGAATCAATAAGATATTTATTTGAATAACTAGAAGTTTCGAAAAAAAAAATAGTGATGACCACTGAAGCTATCATATAGTAGAGTATAAAGAAGGAATTACCAGAAATTTCTAGATTTTAAATTCAAACATATTCATGATGAAAATGCTTAATCTGATATTAAGTTATGAGAGAGAACAAATTATATTAAAGAGACCTTAACTACATTTATATATAGAGAAAATTTTGTCATTTTTAAACAAAATCAAATTAAAAATAAATCATTTATTTTTTTTTGATTAATGTATTTGCACTTATATCTTTAAATAAAATTATTTAATAATAGATACAACAGATTGTGAAACATTTCCATATAAAATATTGAAATAATATTGATAGAATCAAAGAAGACAATCTCATTGATGGCTGACAGTGGATAATTGTTTGTTTGTTGATCTGTTTTTCTTTTTTCCTTTTGCCAAGGGATTAAATTTCTAATGATGAGATCGACATTGGGTAGCTGTTCTAGTAGGGATAAACTAGCTCATTAATTTAAATATTTTTTTTGATTTTTTGTCATACTTAGACTTTAAAATAGACTCATGATTTCTCACGAATTCTAGATATGTTAAATGTTCTTATTTAGTCCAATGTCCTATGCATAAGTATTAATTGTACCATTAACTCTTGATTAAGACTCATCATCATTCAACAAACACTTTTCTTCTTGTCCAAAATTCACTTCAGTTGTATGATTATTTTGGGCATTATTTGTGATATTTGGTGACTCAATCTACTGCTAAGTAATTCCATTGCTCAAAATAAATGGTGCTTCGTATNAATAATTACTCATAAAAATTAATTTTTTTCATAATAAAAATCATTTATTCAATGAGATTTTCTAATCTACATAGAATATTTAATAAAGAAAAAACTTATTGATTTACAGATTTAAGATGATCACTCTATTTTTGTGTTTTTGCAAACTAGATTCGCCTTATATAAGAATTGAGAGTTGATTCACGATTGTCTTTAAATTAATTTCTAGAAAATTAATTTGAATTCCAGATTAAATATTATTTCTCATGAAATAAAGAGTTGGTGAGCAATTAAGTATGAATATTGTTTAATTTTTGAGCTAATTGACGATTAGCTATTGAGATTGATATTCAAAAATTATTCTAATGAAAGACATGATGTTTGAATAAGAGAAAATTGTTTGTTAAATAACTTCAACAGACATTTCTAAAGAATCAATAAGATATTTATTTGAATAACTAGAAGTTTCGAAAAAAAAAATAGTGATGACCACTGAAGCTATCATATAGTAGAGTATAAAGAAGGAATTACCAGAAATTTCTAGATTTTAAATTCAAACATATTCATGATGAAAATGCTTAATCTGATATTAAGTTATGAGAGAGAACAAATTATATTAAAGAGACCTTAACTACATTTATATATAGAGAAAATTTTGTCATTTTTAAACAAAATCAAATTAAAAATAAATCATTTATTTTTTTTTGATTAATGTATTTGCACTTATATCTTTAAATAAAATTATTTAATAATAGATACAACAGATTGTGAAACATTTCCATATAAAATATTGAAATAATATTGATAGAATCAAAGAAGACAATCTCATTGATGGCTGACAGTGGATAATTGTTTGTTTGTTGATCTGTTTTTCTTTTTTCCTTTTGCCAAGGGATTAAATTTCTAATGATGAGATCGACATTGGGTAGCTGTTCTAGTAGGGATAAACTAGCTCATTAATTTAAATATTTTTTTTGATTTTTTGTCATACTTAGACTTTAAAATAGACTCATGATTTCTCACGAATTCTAGATATGTTAAATGTTCTTATTTAGTCCAATGTCCTATGCATAAGTATTAATTGTACCATTAACTCTTGATTAAGACTCATCATCATTCAACAAACACTTTTCTTCTTGTCCAAAATTCACTTCAGTTGTATGATTATTTTGGGCATTATTTGTGATATTTGGTGACTCAATCTACTGCTAAGTAATTCCATTGCTCAAAATAAATGGTGCTTCGTATTTATACTATAGTAATGGTATGGTAGTGGTCTACTACTAAAGCATCACTTTATGGCTTATAATGGATCAATATTACGATTTTATATTATCTATTGTTGTTAAAGATAGTAGAAAGGGTTATAGTATTAGCCTGGAGAGTATAAATTGTACATTAAATCTGGATTCATTTGTATGAATTTTTTTTTCAAAAATAAATTAATTATTAATTTAATGCATTATAACTTGGCTATTAACGATAATACGACAGATTCCTTTACATATATTCTTTTTATTTGTGAATTATTATTAACCATAAATTAATTTCTTTTAAATTCATATGTCAAATTCTTCTTAATATATCTTCCAAAGTCTCTACTAAATATCGTTTTTATATGTTTTGTTCTATTCGTTAAAAGACATTAGAGGAGCCTTTCTCTCTTAAAAATACGAAATCTTTTTATCAATACAAAATGATATTGTTTAGTCTGAAAGTAAATGTCTACCAGAAATTCTATTCTTTATTAATCTTCCTCAAGGCTTTTTTATTACTGAATTAATTAACTGTTTTAGATTTAAACTTTTTTTTTTCTCTATCTTGATAATTTTTATATACAAATTAATAAATAAAGAGCTATATTGAGACACAAATGAGCTTTGTTTATTTAAATTAATGATTTAAGAAACTTTTTTTTTATTTTTCTATTAAATAAATTTTCTTTGAAAAATTATTTATGATTTAATTTTAGAAGTCAAAGAGAACTATTAATTTAAATGATTTAAGTTCTGATGATTATTATATTAAATTTTTATAGAGGCTTTTATTGAAACAAGGCTGACCCACAAAGTCTATTTTATTGTTATTTGTTAAAATTTTTAATCTTGAGGATAACGTTAAAAGTATTTGGTAATTATGTAACCATTATTTTAGAAAATAATTTTACTAGATTAATGTAAAATTGAGATTTATTATTCATTTTTCATTTTCAATTTATATATCATTAATAAGAAATTTAAAACTCAAATGAATAGAAAGAAGTATTTCAGAAATTTAAAAATAGGGTTATCAATTTGAAAAATTGATGTTGAGTTTCAAAATAAATCATTTATTTCTAATGAAATAATACAATATAGAACCATAAAGAATCAAATTTGGAAAATATCCAGTAAATTAAAATTATAGTCTTCAAATGGCTTAAGAGGGTTTTATACATATTTTAAGAATATGAGCAAAATTTATCAAAAAACAAGAAACTTACATTATATTCTAATTTTTCTTTTGATTTTTAGATACTGAATATTAACAATGCAGAAATATCTGCTTAATAATCTGAGTTTTTTTTATTAATATTTTTATTGACATTTATCATATAAAATAAAATAATATTTTTAAAATAATATGAAATTCTTAACATAGAGCTTATATTTTTACCTCTTTTTTCTATGAAATAATTCTAAGTTTAATGTTAATGAAGGCCATAATTCTTAGTTTTTTTGGTTTATCATATAAAATAACAAAGGCTTGATTATTTATTTTTGAATCTTTAAACAATAGATAGATAGTTATAAAGGGATTCCCATAATGAATACAAATAATTACTTTAATCGAAGAGTATTTACTTATTTACTCAAGTTCAATTCTTCATATAAGAACTGCAATTATAAATATTGTGAATTAATAGATGCTGAATTAAAAATTACTATGATTTATTTAAGGTATTATTGGTTATTATTTATATAATTATTGATTAGACTTGTATAAAAAGAAATAGGAGATGAATTATAGATAGATCTTACAATGTAAACATATTTGGATAAAGAAGACGTTGTGATTAATATATAATAGTTATTTAATTGTAATAAATGAATTAAATGTCTCTACAACATTTATAAACAATAAAAGAAGAAAGACATTCCTAAGAAAATATGGACTTAAACTAGAATCTTTTAGAGAAAGCAAAGGTCGTATTATATTAACGTTTAAGTAGAGAGAACATGAGGCGGATGAAAATGAACAATTTCTGCCAGAAGAACAGAAGGATTTAAGTGATGAAGATATTTAAGATTAATAATAGAAATAAGATAATGTAAAGAGCTTTGTCGTTGGTACAGGGATGGCTGGATTCTTGTTTGAAGAAACATTTGGATTTGATGATAAAAAATAGAAGAATAATAAGTAAATCAAGAGATTGACTTTGAATACTCGAATTACATAGATAGCAGGTTTAAACAAGTTACCAGATGATGAAGAGGATGATCAATAACTTTATGAGAAAATTCCTTAATATTTAGCTTGGGGAATTATTTTTTATGCATCATTTAATAATGCAATGATGCCTCCTTGGATTATGACAATTCCAGCTGAAAAAGTATTTATTATAAAATAAATCAAGTATTTACGTATTGCTTGGAGATTTCTGTTGTAAGGCATCTTTCTTATACCTTTTATAATGTATGAATACAGAACAGGAAATGAGAAAGTTAAGTCTGCCTATACAAAAGAATTCTTATTGTAATGGACACACATGAGGAAAGTCTATATGGCAAGTTTAACTACAACTGTAACTTTTGCTGTATTTCTGTTTTGTTTTGATTATACAAATATCTCTAGTGTTTTTGTTTTAGGTTCTTAGACTAATTTCTGGTTATCAGTATTTAGAAAAAAAGAAAATAATCACAATATTGAAGGAGGAGGCAAAATTATGTGTGTTGTTGGGTACGATTAAAATTATATATAATTTATAGTTATTTATTAATCTGTTTGGATTCCTATATGTTAGATACAGAAACTATTCCTTAATCAGCTAAAAATTATATTAATCCTTTATTATATGATAGACCAATCTGGATGAGAATTGTAATTGGAAATACCATTCCAGTATTTTACTAAAATCTATTTAATTAGTTCTTTGCTTCAATAATCTTAGCTGAATTATCAAAGGCCAATCAAGATCTTAGAAGTGTATTTCCACCTTTCTTAGCCAATTTCTGTGTTGCCTTTTTTGTTTGTCTTAACATGTGTATGGTCTCATTCTTTATGGATGGTACAGAAATCAATTTTGATTCCAGATGGGGTTGGTTTGGATTATTCCAAAATGGAAAATTTATGGGCTTTTTGTATACAATATTATATCTAATGTTTTAGTTATATGTCTACTATGTTAAGTATTGGAGTGTTTATTTCATCTATTTTAATTAGTAAACTATTTGAGCCAATTGTTCCTGCTACTGCTGCCTTATTCGAACCTGTTATTACAGCTATCCTTTGTGATATTGCTACTGTTTAATATTACCCTGCTGCTATTGCTTGTTTTGGTTATGTATTTCTTCTACCAGGTTAATTTATTATCATTGTTGGATAACATATCTTGAAAAAATAATAGGAACAAGAACAAAAGTAAAAACTTGAATAATAACAGCTAATTCATGCTTCTAGAGCTTAACAATGATATACAAAATCAAAAGTTAAATTTTAAACTTGATTTCTTTTATTAAATAATGAAGTTAAACAATAATATTTAACGAATAAATAATGTTCCTGTTCCAAAAAAGATTAATGACCCTATCACAAAGCTCTCAGTAACCTATTAGACTTAAACCTAAGTTCTATTCATTGTAAAAGGAAAACATGCCTATTCAAAAGGATCTACCTAAAGTTAATTTGATTCATAAATTAAATGAAGCCTCAAAAATGTCTAAATCTCAACCCAAATAATAAGTACTAATTACTCAAAAGACTATTTCCAAAGATATTTGGCATAAAAAGTCTATTTCCATGAAAATGAAAAAAGCTAATTTTAAAGATGGTAAAAAGATTATCAGTGGATAATTAATCAAATACAAAAAAGGCGATTAGATCTATGCTTTTCGATGTATCAAAGATACTATGAAATAATGCAAATTAAAGGATTTAAAATTAGATCATGATGTTGATACCGATGATGAATAAATTTTTATGGCAACTAAAAATATGTTTATGAGTTTATGCTAAAGTATTAAAAGAGAGTTATTCAACAATTAAGATGAGTAAAACAATCAAGAAAATAAAATTATTATAGATGACGACTTTTTATGATATTTATTAACAACTATTACCATTATCTAAACTAATCAATTAATAATCCTAATAAATTTCTTTTTAAAATCCATCAGACTTTTTTTACTCTTTATTATAATTTATAAATTACTTACTTATATTCATATAAATTTAACTACAATAAATTCATTTAATAATATAACTTTATACTATACCATAATGTAAGCATATCATTTTCGTAACTTTATTTAATTTAGAATTTATTTTATGTTAAAAAAAATTAAATTTAACCAAGAAAGAAACCATGAATTTGTATTATTATTAGTTAATATTTTTTTCATAATAAATCATTATATTATTCATCAAAATTTTAATGTCATAAATAAATAAAAAATATTCAACTCTTTAAAAGAGGAAGTGGAGATGATAGACATCTTTATGTGTCTAATCTAATATCTTAATTAAAACTATTAATTATTGAATCTTTTCTTTGAGAACGTACTAATTACCAATCTTCATCTCTCTTTATAAACATATTAGGATCGAATGAATGAACAGGCACTAAACTTAGTCCGAGAGGTATTTATTTGTAAAGATAAAATTGAATTTTATAAACTTATCTCCCTATATTTCTCATTGTAATTTTATCAAAAGGTCCTAGATTTCTAATTATCAATAAAGAAATTGATATATAAAGATCTAAAGACCTTTTATCATTCTTTTTGACTTCATCTAGTGTTGTTGGATTGATTAATGGAAATTTATCTAATTCTATTCTTGTTCCTTTTGGAATCTTGAAGAAAATACAAACATTCACAATAGATTATGGTAAAAAAGATTAATCTAAATCTTCTTCTAATTCAATTTATAATTCTTCTGAATATTAGGCTGAAAATAAAATAAGATTTAGAAATAATTGCTGAACTTATTTATAATCAGATTTCATAAAAAGATCTTTTAATTTAGTGTTTATTTTAATAGCTCTAGCTTTTAATTTATTGTTGTTTCTGTAATATTTCATTTTATCGATTAAACACTCAAGTAATTAAATAAGATTAAATTTTAATAATGATAGTTATTTAAAATCAAGATTAGCTGAAAAATAATCAGAAATGTTATAATATTTATTGAACGCAATATAAAGTTAAGCATTAATATAAATAAGGCATTTTCTAAAATTTAGATCCTTTTATTATTAACATAATTGATATTTTTTTTAAATACCATTCATAATTATCAATGATAATCTAATATGAGTATTGAAAATGTCTTAAAAGTAGTTTAATAATTTTAATGTTGCTTTATTTTATAATTTTAATTTATCTACAAATTATTTTTTTTATTGTTCATTAATTAGTATTATTGCACAAGGTTCAGTATCGAAACACAAAACTACTTTTATGATATAAGACTCTTCTTAATTAAATCCAAATAATATGTGTTAATAATCCTAGTATTTATTCTCATAATTTTCTAATAATCTTAATTTCTTTTTATCTGTAAATAGGTAAAATAAAAACTATTCTAAATTTATATCAGCAGAATTTTTTCTTATATCTTTTTATTTTGTTATTTTTCGTCCCTAACTTGCAACAATAGTCTTTCTAATGAATGTTTAAAAATTATATTGTTCCTCTTCTTCAGTTAGTTTGTCAACCTGCTCTTGTTATAAAATTATTTATCTTGAATTTTCAATGAAATTTACAATGTAATATTTCATTTCTAAATTTTCTCTTATATTTTTTTCGATCGTTAAGTGCTTGCAATATTACACATATGTCATTCTCAGCAATTATTATTAATATCTAGATTATTGATAGAATAGAAGTATATAAACAAGGAATTTAAGAATTTGAGACCATAAAGGCTCTTTAGAATTAGGTATCATTACCATAAAGATTAGATAAACAAATAATAAAATGAACGCTTTTTAAATTGAATCCATCATATTTATCATTCTAAAATTAATATAAGAAATATTTTTACGTTAAACTTAGGATAGCTAAGAAATATCCATCAATAAATTAATATCTCTCAGGATGTATTTATAAATATTAAGATGTAGCATAAAATAAATTGAATAACAATATTCCAATAAGTAATAATATTTCGTATGCTCTAACACACTTCTTCTAATATCTCAAACTTACAACTACAATAACCCCTAAAATCAAATTAAGACAAACAACAAACCAAGATGACTGAAACACCTTTTCTATTGTATAATAAATTATTAGAGGTATTAATATGATTTTCTATATTAACTAAAATCTTAATCTGAACTTCATCATGTAATTTTCATATTACTCTTCAAATTTATCAGAGATAAACTTTTATGATAAAAATTGCATTTATTATATTTATATTTAACTTAAATTTTGACAAATCCTTAATGTTTTATAATTAGATAATAGATGATCTCAATATAAATATAAACTTATTAAAATCAGATTTCTAGTTTAAAATTTTATTAATTATTTAAAATTTACAGGACATCATAATTCACTAAAATTATCTAATTATATTCTTGGACTCAATGATAGTAAATCAAAATAAGCTGCATGTTTTGCATGAATTGATGATCTTGCATTCAATATCAGATAATTACTAGGATGTTGAGATTTCAAAGGCATTAGATGAAAATCTTCTGTTAGTTCTTTAAAAATAAAAAATTCAATGCTTTTACTTCCATTTTTATTATTTTATTTTATATGTATTTTATTCGTAGGTCCTAATTTTCTTACAATTACTATTGCCATTGGAAGATTTAGTTGATAAACTTATTCAGCATTATGTCTCAATTCAGATAAGGTATTTGGATTTATGAAAGGAAGTCCTTTTATAGCATCTTTGCTGAAACTTGATCCTTAAAATTCAATTTTAATACAAAAATATTATTTCTTCAATGAATAATCTTCTCCTTACTCTAATATAATTCCAATATCTTAACTATGTTCAGAGATATAATAAAGAAGATTTAGAAATAATTATTTTAGTTATTTTTAATCCTAAAAAACTATATCTTTTTTAAGTTTATTTGTTATAGAATAATTGAATTTCTTGCTCTAATAAAAATATGCCTTTATTTCAATCAAAATTTCTTCCAAAAATTAAATAAAATTAAATTTTTAAATAATTGATCTTTAGAAAGAAGAATTAAGATTAAAAAAATCTTTAATATTCTAAAAATCATTATATGCCTTTGAGATTTTACTTTAAACCTTCTTATACAGACAAAAATCTATATTATTAGATTTAACTTTTTGATATTTGTCTAATCCTTTGAAATAAATTAAACTCATTTTAACCTAGGATTGAAATATATCATCAATTGTTTCTAAAACTTATTAAAATATCTTATATCTCAATTTAAGTTCTTCAATAAAAACATCCTTCTTATTTTAAGATATTAAGATTATAGCATTTGGTACCTCTCCAAAATATTTGAATATTGATATATTATAATTCTCTTAGTTTTATACTCCTTACAATTTAATTAAAGAATTTATTTAGAATTTATTTACATAATCTTTTAGTTTCTCAGGACTACTAAGAAAATAGAACAAAAACTTTTCTAAAGTCATCATAGCATCTTATTATATTTCTTCTTAAGATTTATAATATGTTTGAGATTCTTAATCCTTTATGAAAACTTTCATATTTCTTATTTCTGAGATAAATTAAGATTACTACTGAATTGTAATATTGTCTTCATTATTATAAGTACTTAGTAGAATTTAATTTTTATCTCTTTTATAATTAACTATATATAATGTTATTCCACTTTAATTAACTAATTATTGCTCTGCATTTTGATGTTTGATCAATTATATATATTCTTATCTAGATATTTGCTCTGTTTTGTATAAATAAATTAGATGTAGTGTTAAATAAACCAAAAATAGAATCATCTATTCCCATACTTCCTATATTAAGTTTGGCTCAAAGATTTGTAACAAAATGTAGATTGAAATATGGATGAAACATTTTTACATAAAAGTTGCTTAATTCAATACTCTATTATATTATGTAAAATACATGATGTTGTTGCTAATGCCAACATATATCCATCTATATAACTTGTTTACTAAAATGTTTCACTTAGTATTTTTTGTAATGATTTATAATAATTAAAGATTGTCATAAAGATTATAATTGTGTTATTAAGATAACATTGCTCTTATCGATCAATGTTTAGCTTTACACTAATTATCAATAGTATCAAACCTATTCCACAAATGCAAAGTGAAACCCAGTTTTATTTAAATGCACTTGATATCAATACATATAAAAGTATTAATATTACTAATCCTTGCTATATTTTTAATAGCTACTATGACAGTTCCTTTTTATGGTTTTAATATCTAGTTTCTACAAGTTTGTCTGAAAAAGAAAGTGATAAATTATTCATAATTTTTATATATTTAATTATCATTAAATTCACCTATACATCTAATACTTTCAACATATTCATTTTATGTTTATATCATTAAAGTACTTTACCTTATTTTTATATAT